CAAAAATAACCAGAGTAAAAAGGGCTGGGGGTGTAACTCAGGTAACAGAGCACCTGCCTAGGAAGCACGAGGTCCTGAGTTCAAAGCCCAGTGCTGGCAAAAAAAAAAAAAAAAGGAGTTATATAATGTAAGTTAATAGGGGAAAGTGAGGGGGAGGATGAAGAGATGTATGGAACTCTACATTTTTCTCTCTCAATTTTTCTATAAACCTAAAACTGCTCTAAAATATAAAGACTATTAAATTGAATAAATAAGCTAACAAAGACATAAATAATAAATACTCTTCACAAGCATCAAAGTATAAAAATAAAAATCAGGCCTGACCACTGTCAGGCTTTAAAACATTAGCATTTAGGGTTCTCAAATTTCTATTGCGCTAAGAAAAGCCCATAGTAGGGCAGGTAAAAGAGAGGCTGTGGGTCAAAGCTCAATTTTAATGGCCAAAACTCCTAATAAATTCATATTGTATACCGTCTGTACAAGTGTTAGATCCATTCCTCCATCTTCAGTCAAATTAAAGCTACCATAAGAAGGATGATGGAAGTCGGAAGTCGCTTGTCAGGATTCTTCAACGCTCTGCCTTTTTGCTAATGAGGGCAAGAGAAAACACCTATGTCAGGGAGGACCCCATTCTCCTCTTCAACTCTTGAAGTACTGAGCCTCCAGTCCAGGGCTGACTTCATGACTGTGTGGGATGCACAGGGCCCATGCTTAGTTTTTCTTGTTGTTGCCATCTTGTCATTCCTAAACATTTTAAACAAAGGTTGCTGGATTTCATTTGTATTGTCCTCTATAAGTTATGTAGTAGGTCCTGCTCTGATCTCCTACTTATTACATAAAATACTAACATATTAATTCAGTTTGATTCTCCCCTAACCAGAAGTTGCCAATGCTGACATCCACAGGCACCAAGCAATGAAGTGTCAGGATTGAAGCAGGTGGTCAAGGAGTGAGGATGGGGTGTGGGTCTACCATGAAGAAACCTTTTCCAAATGGAGCAGCAAGGACCTGGAGGGCTAAGTATCATGTGGGAATGTAGCTTCAGTACAGTCAGATCTTCCAATTAAAAACAAAACTAAAGATGCACTTATTTCGGATGTGAAATCGTATTTTAAAACCTTGACTCAATCAGGAAAGATACCATCTGCGTGGGCCCAAAATCCCTATATCTGCTTGGCCATAACTTGGCCAATACTTCATGGCCTCTGGCCTAGAACTTCAAAAACAAAAGCATGTTTCTTAGTTTCTCTCTCTGTTTTTCATTAAACCTAACTCTTTTCTCTCTCTTTTAGAACACAAAACAGTTAACTTCTAAGTGATATAGAGAATTCAAACCTTGGGAATAAATGCCTGCCTCCATTCTGGAGAAAAGAAAAAAAGATTCTTTATTTTGGACAGTTCAGTTCCAGGGATAGCAAACCACAGGTAATTCTCAATGCTATCTTGTATATTAAGTTCATACCAAATTTCTGTGCTACAGTTATTAATATTGATTTCTAGGTATGTAGATTGAATATATAAGTACAATTATACATTAAAGGGTATTAAAAGTGAGTGGATTCAATGTCTTCTTGGATTTATAGCCAGCACTTAGTCAGTCCTCTTTATTAACTTAAGAGGTCCAGAGTAGTTCTGTTACCTTACTAGATAAAGGGGTTAAGAAGCAGCCTCTCTTCCAGATTCTCATCCATACGCTTGGCTTATGGAATCTTTGGAATGTGTAGTTCTCTTGAGATTCAATTTAAATGAGTGGAAAAAAAATCAATTAATTCTTAACCCCTTGGAGATATTTAAAAACTGCAACATGCACAGTCATTCCGCCACAGGTACCCTTCTCTTATCCTTGTCCTACTGGTCTTATTTAGGGCTTATTTTTGTTTCTCTTTGCTTTTCATCTACTTGCCTGGCAGATATTTCCTTATTCTACTCATTAAATTAGAAATGTTCCAGACATTCTGAAAGTTTCCTTTCCAGCACAGATTCCCTTCCAGGCAGGACTGCTATATAAGTTTGTACTTAAGAATGTGAACTGTACAAGTTCAAGAAGTGCCACTGATATTGTCATTTAGATGATCGCCCCCTTCTCCCCCCATGCCCCAGAGTTGTTCAACTTACACTGCTGCACACATTGTCAGGCCTTTCTGGCAGCTGCCCTGGATCCAAGAGTAAGGAAAATAAATTTACTTACCTAATAAATATGTTCAGAGATTTTGCTTCTCCTATGATGTACATACACAAAGCCTACAGCACAGGTTCACTTCAACTTCTTATCATACTACTTTTCTGGCATGTTGTCTTTAGAATAAGTCTGTCTCCAGTGGATTCTAAAAGTGCTGAGCTGATTTTATTGGGTCCACTGAATTGAAATGCTTAAGGATTCCTTGATTCCAGACTGAAGATCAGGGTTTGGGAAATCTACGCTGTTTTAGAAAGCAGCACCCACATGTCCGTCCTGGCCTATGTAATTCTTGATACGCAGTCATATTTACGACACATTGGTCTAAACCATGCTAGACTAGATACTATAGCCATTCACAGTTGGACTTCAACCAGCTTAGCTTATTTCATGTCACGTGCTATATTTGGTTTTTCTGAAATGGTTGTAATCACTGATTATACTATGCTCCTCAGTGTCTTATTCTAGTCCACATTCCTGTCTTCTACAGATTTTTTTCTTTGAATTTTCCTGTCAAGTGAACTTGCATCTTATCCTTTAAGACCTAAGCAAAATGGTACCTCCTCAAGTTAGATTTGTAGTTCTCCCTCACTCAGAATCAATTATTCCTACTTCTTGGTTCCTATGCTAGTATGCATTATAAAAGTGAACATAAAAAATTATTAGTTTCATATCCCTTAAGATATTTTTAAGGCTATGCAGTTAATATCTTAAATGTAGTTCACATGATTTTTGTATCATGTTTATATCACTACCAATGATAAATTCCAGCATAGCAACTATAATACATTAAATATCAAATGTTATTTAATATATTTATTTCCTTAAAATAGATTTGTCATCACTTTTTTGTTGTTTCTTTTTGAGACAGGGTGGGATGATGTAGCCCAGGCTGTCCTTCAACTCTCGATCTTCCTGTCTCAGCCTCTGGAGCACTGGGATTATAAGTATGTACCACCACAACAAGAGCTAGGAATCATCTTTTTTTTTTCTCAGTGTTTCCAGGGTCTTGCACATGATAGCAATTGCTCTACCACTGAGCTGCAACCCAACCCTACAACCTTTAAAAAATGTATTCAAAATACTCTAAATACCTGTCTTAAATCAGGTTCTTGAAGAAGACACATTCTAGTACAAGAGACTTACTAAGCAAGTATGAGATGCTAGTAATGGGGACAACACAATAGGATTTCAGGTAAAGTCACAACTTCAGCCTGATCTTGCTAGGAGCTCTCACAGCAGTTATGTATCTAAGTCTATCCCATTCCTGAGCAATGGTGCTGCCTTCTGAGCTTTGCAATTGTCGTTGGCTATGAGGCCATGGATATGTGTGTGGCAGTGGTGGTAAAGGATGAGAAACAGATTTCCAGGCTTTGTTTTCTTTCCTTTAGGGTGGAGAGGCGCCAGTGACCTCAAGAAAGAACAGCAAAGCACAAAAGCTGGCAGGTAGAAATCAGAATTAAAACAAGGGATCCATGGCATGGTGAATGCGATACCAAAGGTATCCTCAATAATAATCCAACAATTTGATATTATACATTATTTAAAAATGCATTAGCCTTCTGAATCTGAGAAGATGGCTTAGACATATTGTTTCCTATTCCATTTGGTGCAATTAAAAACTCTGGATATTACATAGGAAAAAAAACAAAAAAAAGAAGATTCTGAAAAGTGGAAAGGAAGATGGACTACTAGGGTTCTTAGGACCTGAGGAACAACACAATGGTCAGTTCTGTATTTGTTTGTTTAGATAGCTGGCAGATTTGGTTGTTTGTTGACTTCACATACTCCAGATGGGGCAACCAAATGCCAGCAACTCCAAAATACCAATGGATTCAAACAACCAAAGAAAGTCCAAACAAAAACCTGCTTTTTCTCCCCAAAAACTCAGGAAAGGCGAATTCCAACAAGAGAGAAAAACCTTATCAAGTAACAGGAAAGGACAAGAGTTGGAATCACGGTCTGATAGATTCAGTCTCTGGAGTGGGTGATATGGCTGGGACAAAGAGGAGAATGCAAATGAAGGCCAAAGACAAATTTGGGAATGTATACAATTACTACCATTTGGTTTACAATGAGAACAACTTGGGAGCTTAAAACAATATAAAATGCCCCCTGGCTCTCCCTGGAGATTCTTACGTACATTCTGTAGTTTTTCAAAGTTCTAAAGATAATTCTAAGGTAAAGTAAGTGTTCAAAACCATTAAACAATTACAGAGAAAAAGAATTGAGAAAGATTCAGCATAAACAGGGAAACAATTTAGAATACAGCAATCAGGAAATCCACGAAAGTATAGATTCTTAGACATGAGAGTAACCAGCCAAATACTAGGTAGCATGGGTAGGAAGATTGAGGACACAAAGAAATTTCTTTCTTAAACAATGAAACAAGAATGAACTGGAGACTAGAACTGGGTTTGAAGACTCCCTAAATATTGTGGGAGTATTAAAAGAAATTACATCAGTATAACAGTATCATATTTTATAGGGCCAAAGGAGAACAGTTCAGAGCAATGACAGGACAAAGGAGCAAAGAAAACCCATACAGTAACTTTTGAAACTGTTTGGAGACCAACTCTGATGATTTTATTGAGAGGACAGTAGATCTATGAAATCAACATATTTTAAAAATGAGTACATAGAGTATCTGGAGGGAAATCTATACATAATTTATATAAAGCTGAGACTTACACAAATTGTAAAAATATTAGGAAATTCCAGAACCATAACTCAATGCTTACTACCTTACATGTTTCTTATTTGACACTCTGGTATTTTATCTTATTATTTTAGTACTATGACTAACTAGTCATTTCTTCTTAAATATGTAATTTTTAGGATTTGGTACATTCTGAAAATATAGTATAAAATGACCTTCATTTTGTAATGAAAATAAATTGTAACATATATGCATAATGGTCTATTAGCAAATGTTATCACATTTTTAACCTGGTCCTGTGATACTCCTGCAGTGCAAAAAAAGGCAGGTATTAGAATTGCTATTATGCAGAAGAGCATGAAACGGAAGCTCTGGGAAATGAAGCAGTTTGCTTAAGGATCCAACTTCAGAATTCAAACTCAAGGCTTCTGATCCTTGCAATTTTCCATAGCACATTTATTCTACTAGGATGTCTGATCAGCATTAGTGAAAAACTATGTGCATGTGTTTCAAAAACTGTGCTGTTGGTTAGCTCTGGTTCATGAGAAAGAACATGTTTTGCCCTGAACAAAAATGGCAGGAGTTGTTTTATCTGTAAGGTCTAAAAGGAGGAAAAGGCTTGTCACTGGACTCCAAGTAAACTCTGACCTTCCTCTCTCTAAAAGCTTAAGAACGTTTCAAAGTTAAAAATAAATGGAGTGTTACTATGACTTTTACCCAAATGTCCATAATGTTAGGGTTGTCTTCACAGGGTATTATATTTGGTTTTTCTATTTCATAGAAATAGAAATTGAAACTGAAACAACAAAAAAGAGAGGCATTGAAAGTCATTACTTTCATTTTTGCAATGACTCTCTCTGTGCCTACAAAAGGTAAGATTAAACAAGCAAACTTTACACAAGACTATTTTTAAAAATCATCTATACTTTTAAGATGGAGTTCTCTAAAACGAAGAGAAATTAAGTATTTTCTGGATGATATACTCAATAAAATTAATATACTCTTACAAAAAGCAACTTTCTAAAGTCTTTCAGAAATATTAGTTTACCAAAACACTTCACAACCAAATCTTAGTAATCTTCAGGGAAGATAGTAAGACTGAATTCTGGATCACCATCATCGTTTTCAAGCTTTTCATCATTTTCTTTAGCAATATATTTGCCATGTGCTTTTTCTGGGTTTCTTTTTTTCTTGTAAGTACGGGTGGATGATTTATTTTCCTCTTTGGTCTTGGTAACAGTTTCTCTTTCCAAGGCATGTTGTAGACAATTGTAAAACCTATGAAGAATTAAGTACTACTGTTTTATCTGTGTGTATTGAAAGCAAGTGACTGAAATATATTTAGAACTTACTGATTATGTAAATTAAAAAACACCCCATATTTTCCTTATAAGTATAAAAAAAAGTCAAAGAAGTAAAATGCTTCTTCCCTTTGCCATTGTTCAATTAAGAAAAGAAATACATTTTATTAAGTGGGTTGGAATTGCTTCTTGAAAACCTGTAGCCAACCTCAAATTGTACCAAGATGTAAGGATCAAGCAAAGAGAGTTTAAAAAAGCCCAGAAATTATTATTTTATTAAAAATTCTAAGTGAAAGAAGCTCACTTTAGATAATTTGAAAACTACACAAGGCTACAAATACAGATCACCTCTACACACTATATAGAAAAAACCACTTTCAATTTTTTTCTTTGCAGTTTATGAATGCGGTCTCAAAGTATTTACACAATGCATTCCTATTTTTATATAATTAGGATATAACAGATATAAACAACAAAATGATAAAACATTTTTGAAAATGATGTGATCTGAGTTTCTAGCTATTTCTTTAGGTGTGACACCAAAAAGTGTAATTACATGGTTAAATGATATAAAAATTTTAAGGCACTTGACAAATATCACCTATTTTCCAGAATGGATGCTCACAAAAATATGCTTCTAATAGCAGTACTTGAGAGGAACCACTTCACTCAGATTGACTATTACCATCAAAAAAAAAGCCCTAACTTTGATAGGTAAAAATGTATCTAATTATTTATTTTAATTTTTCTTTGTTTATAAGTAAATTGATTTTTCATTTGTTAGCTATTTGAATAGATTAAATGTAAATTGTTCTTTTTCTTTGTTCACTTTTCCACTGGAGTCTATTATTGAACTTGTGATACAATACCCTATATGGTCCCTGCAAATTGGGCCTCATTTCCTGTCTGCAGCCATGCTAGCACACAACATTAATTCTCTGCTCAATGCAGTAGTCCTTGGTAAATGTTGGAAGGTAGCAGGTGTCATGGGGTAGCAATGTGTTTAACAGCAGCCTTCCACTTGGAAAGCTGAGGCTGGCCAATTCCAATGAACTTTACTGAGTCTTGATTTCCTCATTTACAAAACTAGGTATTATGTGTATCAAGTGGAGCTGTCAAAAGATTACAGATGAGACAGGTAAGTACCTAACACAGTGCAGAACAGAGTGAGTTCTCAATAATGACTAGGAAAGATTTCTGCCCTTACAAAAGTGCATCCATTGTCTTATTCACAAGAATACATTCTCTAACCTATAAAGAATGTAGACTTCATGCAACAAAGGACTCTACTTGTTTTCTGTTATATTCTTAGCATGTAGTATATGCTGGCATATTCAGTAAGGATGTGCTGAATAAATAGATGAATAACTACTGATTTAAAAACGTAGCTATGAATGTATTTTCCTAGGTCCTAAATTAGAATGATCTGGAAGCTGAAAACTCCTTTATCATTATAGGGATCTTGTCTTACCTTTATATGTGATTATGAGACTATAACAAGAAATTTTTTATATTAACAGGTTTGTTGATAATTATGGATGGCTGTTTTGATCAACTTTCTTCTTTCTTTAATTCAGTGACTAGACTAGATTCTCCTTGGAAAGGCTCTTCTTAGGGAAGCTGTAAAGCCACACTGGACACACCCTGAAAAAGCTAAGATAATGGAAGTCACATTGCTTTAACTGAGATTTGGAAGACCTGCCAGTATGTGTGGAAGGAGCTGAAGCCATGAGTCAAGGACAGAATCTTACAGAACAACATTTAACAAAGACGTACAACAAAAAGAGATTCACAAGGAGGCCAAGGAGCACCACAGGCAGGAAGGGAAGCAGCAAAAACTCTTCCTCCTCTTACCTTCTACCTCAAGCAAATCATTCACTAATCCCTACTTATGGATCAAGTATTATCATCCCTTTTTCTTTTTTTAATATCCTTTTTTTTCTTTTATATAAGCATATGTTAACTGTACACAGGGGTTCCATTGTGATATTTGTATTTTGATCAAATTCGAATTCACCCCATTTATATTATTGCTCTTTCTTAATCTCTCCTTTTCTTTCCTTTTTAACATTTTTTACCACCCCTTTTTCTTCTCCTGTTACTTTTATCTATCATGCAATTTCCCCAACCCCAGTGTTCTTCTTATTAAAGCCCTGACTCCCTTTAAGGTCCGGCTTACTGACTTCTTTTGAAAAGCTTTCGTTGATTACAATTCCGTGCACAAATGAACTTCACTGCTTCCTCTTTTGAAATCCTAGAGCATTCTGTACCATTCTTAGGGTACTTGTCACTTTCCAAGCTGAATTATATTTATGTGCCTGTCTGAAATCCCAATTATGCTACCATAAAAGCTGTCTCAGCAGAATCAACCTCAGATTCATCTCTGAATTTCAATGCCTTAACAATGCTTTAAAATTTATAGGTCCCTATGTAAATATTTGTTGAAACAACACACAAATGTGACTCATCCTCACATAATCTATCACTTTTATGATGAAATAAAGGCTATTCTGGAAATACCTGGCATCCTTATTGCCAATAATCATATATTATCTAACCTGGAAGAGACTCAGAACAGAGATGGACTGGGTTTCACATAGAGTTCACTGCAACTCAGAGAGGTGATTGTGGCAGAGCAAAGAGTTTCCCAGAAGAAAAAAAAAAGTTTCATCAGCTCTTCACTCAGCCACCTAGTTACTATTTACTAATATTAAAAATCACCCATTGGTTAACACAAAATGACCCAAAGATCTAAATGTAAAAACTGAAACTATAAAATAATGCAAAAGCTTCATGACACTGAATTTAGTAACAATTTCTTCTGTATGACTCCCAAAACATAGGCAACAAAAGAAAAAAACAGAAAAACTGGACTTCATAAAAATTTAAAATTCTTATACATCAAAAAACTTCCATGAGAATGAAAAGATTACCCACAGGATGGGGAAAATATCTGCAAATCATATATCCGATAAGAGATTATTAATATCTGGACAATATAAAGAACTCCTGCATCTAAATAACAAAAAACCAAATAATCCAATTAAAAAATAGACAAATGAGTTGAATAGGTTATTCTTCTAAAGACAGACAGACATATGGCCAATAAACACATGAAATGATTCTAAATGTCACTAATTATTAGGGAAATGCAAAGCAAGACTATATAATGAGATTCCACTTCACACCCTATTAGCATGGCTTTTAGTAAAATTTGGAAAATAACCTTGTCAAGTGTTGACAAGGTTATGTTTCCAATTTCTCACTGCTGGTGGTAATGTATGATGGTTCAGCTGTTGTTAAAAAAACAGTACTGTGGCTCTTGAAAAAATTAAATGCAGACTTAAGATGCAGTCCAGCAATTGCATTTCTGGGTGTATATCCAGAACTGAAGCAGGGACTTGAATGATACTTGGACACTGATGCTCAGAGCAGCACTATTCACAGTAGGCAAAAGGCTGAGACAATTTAAATGTCCACTGACAGATGAATAAAAACAAAAAACATGGTCTACAAATATAATGGAGTGTTACTGAGCCTGAAGCAGAAAAGAAATACTGATACATGCTGTAGCAAGGATGAACCTTTATGACATTAATTAAGTGAAATAAGCCAAACTCAAAAGGACAAATAATATATGATCTCATTTACATGAAGTACCTGTCATAATTCACAGAGACAAAAAATAAAATGGTGTTTACCAGGGGATGGGGGCATGAGGAATGGGGGCATGAGGAATGGTGGCAGGGGGTAGCAATTGTTTAATGGGTACAGAGATTCTGTTTAAGATGATGAAAAAGTTCTGAAGATGGATAGTAGTAACTATTATATAACAATGCAATGTACTTCAAGTCATAGGTTAAAGTGGTAAATTTCATGGTATACATATTTTACCACAGTAAAAAAGAGTTTAAAAAAAACAACCACTGGAAATAGATTCAATTATTGTCTTTCAAATTTCTTTATTCTTAACAATATTATATGCCAATATATTCTGCCCTTTTATTCTATGTTTTATTTAACATTTTTTTATTTCATAATTGATGAAAAGAAGAGCATGGTTAATTTCATTCTGCTCATAGCCAAATGGTGGTTTCATCTGTTTTGTGTGTCCTGACCTCTTATTAATAAACACAAAGAAAACCTTTCTCTTGTAGTTAGTAAATAGATCTCCAAGCTTTGTACTTTTCACCTGGAAATCATTATGTATGAAATGGTCTTACTATGTCTGGTGTCAGTCCCTGTCTCTTCCAGTCTCCAAATTGGTTGTTTATAAAGCAGGCTGCCCTTCACAGGCCTTGTCTTGCTCAGTTCCAGAAACCACAGGAACTCAGCTATTGCTGTTCGATATGTCTCTTCCCATCAAGAGTAGGCTTGAGACAAGAACTTTTTTCTATGAAAAATGTATTATCTCCTAACACTGATTTCCCTATTTCCAGAATATTTATTGATGTTGTAAAGTCATATATTAGGATCTTCTGAGTTTTTATAATTCTTTTATAGATATGTGAATTGTGAAACTGGTCTTATGACAAAACAATTTTAGTCTTCCCTGTCTGACTGCATAACTCATCACCTCCAGAGTTTATTATTTTTTTCTCTTCACCACCAGAAGGTAGCTCTTTTTCTGCATTTGGCTGAATATACAGCTGTTCCCAAAAGAGCTCTCTAATTTGTTCACACTTTCTGAATCCACATGTAATCTTCTAATCAGTATCTTAAGACACTTTTCACCCTTCTTTAATTTTTCTCTGATTTTATATGATGAGTGTGGCTCTCTTGATAGCAGCATGCATACTATAATCTTAAAACATATTTTTGAGTTAATGGATTTAAAGCATTTAATTTGATTTTATAGTGGTGAATGTGACTCAATTAACTTCGCCAGGTGTATAGTTACTTGATATTGTGCTATATTTATAATCTTGTTGAAATTCAAGTAAGGAAACAGAGAAAAGTGATTTGTTACCTTGTATGTTTTAGCAAATAGCCTCACTGGGTTCTGTCTAACAAATGTAGTAAACATTTGGAATGGCACCATAAGTGCTTATGTGTGGTTCAAATCTACAGTCTGGTGAGTAGCTAGATGCTGTTCAGTTGTTATCTGACATCATCATTTTACTTAGAATGTTTATGCTTTGTGCCAGGTTTTTGGCAGTACTGGGGTTTGAACCCAGGGCCTCATGCTTTTGAGGCAGGTGCTCTACCACATGTATCATTCCACAAGCCGTGTTTTGTGTTGGGTTTTTTTGAGATAGGGTCTTTATGAACTATTTGGCCAGGCTGGCTTCAAACCATGATCCGTTTCATCTCTGCCTCCTGAGTAGCAAGGACTACAGAGATGAGCCATAGGTGCCTGGCAGTGGCCAGGTTTTTACAGTTATAGTTTTCCTCAACCAAGGTTTAGCTAGAAAATTAAGCATTAATACTCTAAGATATCCACTTCATGTAATGAATTAACTTCTCTCCAATATATGTAAAATGGTACATGCCACTTGCTATCCTTGGAAGAACTGAAACATAGCCACATGATTAATTTTGTGAATTTTATGGTTCAAATGAGGAATCTGATTGAGAAAGTCTGGGTGTTAGTACTAATGTAGTTACTGGTTTATTCTTCTTGAGTGACTGAAGCAAGAGAAGGGTTATTCTATTCTGAGAGTCCATGAGACAGGGAGGGCCAGTTATGGTACATGTGTTATTTATTGAATACTAACAGTTATTTTTTAAGGTAGGTATTTCCCTCAAGCAAGAGACAAGAAAAACAAAGCCAAGAGAGTAATCTGGTGGAACCAGGTTAAGTAATTTGGTAGAACCAGGATTTGAACCCAGTTTCACCTTTGAAAACTAATTCTATTTCTTTTCACCATGTTCCATTGCTATCATAGACACTTTTGGTCTTAGCTGCTCATAAAAGTTCTAGGTGTTAAGGAATTTTAAGACTGCAAATTAAGCAACAGGATTCCTTTGCACTTTGGCCATGATTCTGATTCTGATATAAGAATCACTTAGCAGAGAGACATACTAAAATCATCCAGTAATGGACTGGATGTGAGGTGGCTGGAGGGATATAGAAAGTTGTTTTATTTCTAGAAATAAAAAAAGGAAATGACATAAATGACATCAAATTGGCCAACATTCCTTGAGTAACTCAGAAATGTACAACTTGCCAATGGAAGTTCAGTAGTATTAGCTTCATGTATGAAAGGAGATATAATGGTTTTTTTCTTTCTATATAAACTCTGTTCTTAGGAAAATGTTGAAAAATAAAGTAATGGACGAGTTTTATAACCATACCCCTTCCTAGTTGGCCACTAATGGCAATTCTAGATGTAATTCATGAGAAGAGTTGGATGTTGAGCTAGCATAGGGACCAAAACACTAATTGGACTAAAATTAACCAAGCTGTTCTTGCAGGGAGATTCTAGGTAATCTTGGTGAGTCACAACCAGGGTTAGTACACACATTTCTCTGCAGCTATCAACTTATCAATTAGGCTCTTTCCTAAATGATTACACTCTCTATGCAATGCCTGTTTCTAGTGGTCACAAGTCCACCTATCTCCAGGTGGCCTCCCCTTTAGGTTCCACTTAGAGCCCATTACAGTTTTGGTTACTTTCATCTATGACCTCAATCATCTTTTCCTTATTCATAAGGTTACAAGCAGACAAGCATTGAGAATGTCAACTAAAGATCATCTGCACTAATGTTTTTAAGGATGGCACAGGCATGTAAGAGTAATAAGAGATATCCGATTAATTATACCTTTCAATTCTTTTCTTGTTTTCCTCCATTTTTTGATTTGCTATTTTTAACAGGAAGTCAATATATTCCTCTGTCACCATCAGTTTTCCCTTATGACTTAATGGAACTTCCAAGCCATGTGTACTCCGGACAGCCTACAAGGAAAATCAGTTTAAAGATGAAGACTTATATGCTAGAGACATGGAAGATAACTAAAGAAAAGTTCCTTTTGGGACTGGGTTTAAACAGTTTAGTTCCATTATAGCATGTAAGTCTGTGCTTTTATATAATTTATCTGAACACAGTTGAATCAAGGAGATTAAATAGATTTTCTCAACATATACAATCATTGCTAAAGAAAGATACTCTACACATTATCTTTCAGAGAAGCAGATAATATCAAAAATCCAATAACTTTGAGCAGATTCAATCTCACTATGGCTTAGAAAACTTTAATACACAATTTAAAGCAAAGAAATAAATGAAACCTCAACAGAACCCTCAAGGGAAAATCAAACAGGCCTGGATGCCAGAGTCTCTTAGTGCTACTTGAGCTGAATAGGTTACAACAGTAAACCATGCCCCCTCCATCACACAACGTAGCTGCTTTCTGAGTGCTCTAAGGCTGCCAAACTTAGCAATACTGTTGATAGAACACTCAACATCCCAAGTAGATCCATACACCAGACAGAGGTTAAGCAACAAAAATGCTACAAGAACTACTATGAAGAATAAAAACTCACTTAATAAATCTCTACACGTATCTACAATATTCTAGGCCTTCTGTACGGTGTGAAGACACAAGAAGAATATGACCTTCCTTCCTTAAAGAGCTCATACTTCAGCACAGGAAATAAACACAGGAATAAAGAATTCCAACGCAACATGGTGTTATGACATGTGAGACATACATACACATAATTCAAATGAATTGGAAGAGGAACAACTAATTAAGTATGAGGACTCAGTTTTATGGGAGAGACAGCATTTGAAGGGATTTTAAAGGAAAAGTGCAATGATACCAGACATAAAAACAGATGGGGGGCATTCCAGCCAGAGGAGCAACTTATCTGTAGGCACAGAGACACGGAGCAGCATGACACATTTGGAAAAAACTAAAAGTTGTATTTGGCTGGAGCATAAGTATTCTAGAAGGACCTGAACACAAACAGACATATGCAAAATAGTTTGGGAAAATCACTGGAGACCCTGAGTTTTTTAAAGGGGAATTCTGAAAGTATGGTTGGAGGGATTCAAGGAGAAGACCTATAGAAAAAGACCAGGCAGGAGACAGCTATAAAGACTGAGGTGAGGAACAATGCAGGCTGAAACAGGGTCAGTGGCAGAGGGTTGGGGATAGGGTTAGGTGTGAGAAATGAGAAGGAGAAATAATAGGACCTGTGATTAGTTGGATACATAGGGCAAAGGAGAGAAAGAAGAAAAAATAGCCGCATTCTTGCTTGGCACCAGATGCAGTGTGGTGGGAACACAAACTAGTAAGAGGGCTTTCATTTTCTACTTAGTCATGCTTCATAGGTTTCTTCTTTTGTAAGCCGTCTCTATTTTGGAAATAGGCTATTTGTTAAAAATAGAAAAAGTCTAGGGAGCTCAAATAGAGGGCAATCTAACACCGTTCAAAAATAAGCAATACGTGCCATGCCAAATAGTAAATACCATAGGATTAGAATTGGGCAAAAGAACTAGAGGTTGGCTTGGCCAGGAAAAGACCAAAAAATAAAAAAGTGGGATTTAGGGGCCTTAAAGATCATCTATTCCAAGGGCTGGCAAACTTTTTCTGCAAAAGGACAGTTAAAAAAATACTTTTGACTTTGTGGGTCATACATTTTCTGTCCAACTACTCACTTTTGCCACTGTGGCACCAAACATCCAAATATCCAAATATTGGATATTAACTATATCCAATAGTTAATAACTGGGTATAGGGGGATCTGGCCCCCTGTGGGTTCTACTTGGTGCTAGGACAGTAGTTTGTTGGACCTCTGATAGGACTAAGAAGATTTAGACCTTAAGGGATTAAGGAGTTTACAGGAGTTCATATGGCATAGCTGTGGTCGAGCAGAATCAGGAGAGAAGATTTCAGATGCCTATAGGGCTCCTGACATTATAATATGGTACTTATTACATTGGGCTTTGACTCCTCAGGATTAGGAAGATATGAGTAGAGAATCAGATTAAATGTTAAGTGGACCAGAAGACTATAAAATAGCACTTCAAATATAAAAACTCTGGACTATGTCCTCTAGGAAAGAGAGTAGGCCACTTTTTTGGGCAGGATAATTTGAAAAAGAGAATAGAGACAAGACTCTAACTAGAAACTTATTCAATATTCTGGATCATTTCACACTCAAAGAACTGCTTTTTTTTCCAAAAGGTATCTTACCAACATAGTTTTTCCTCTTTTTCCCACTGTGATGCCAGAGTTCCTGAAACCAGAATCAACTGCCACTGAATGCTGTAAGAAAACAAAACTTGTTAAATTCTGGTATTCTAGCTAATCAGACTATAGGTTCACTTCCATAAATTGTAGGAACATATATAATCCCAAAACCCAGTAAGGATTTTAAGCTGTATAGACTATGATTTAAATTCCTATCTAAATTCCTATTAGACAAGAAGTGTCATTGAGCAAGAGTAAATCTAGAATTTAATAAGACAAAGACATTTGGCTAGTGATTGTTTATATAAAGCAGAAGATGAATCCCAAACATTCCTGTAACCATGTTATATAAATAAACAAAACAAACAAAATTTCTCTTCTAAATGAGGAAAGCATTTTCTTTAAGAACAGAACTTACCTGAATGTGGTTCTTTCTTTTTTTAGTGGTACTAAGGATTGAACTCCGGGCCTTACACTTAGAAAGCAGGCTGTTACTTGAGACATGTCCTCTGTCCTTTTGCTTTTAGTTTACTTTTCAAATAAGGTCTTATGCTTTTTCCCAACTGTGATCCTCCTGTGCATCCTGAGTAGCTGGGATCACAGGCATGCACATCACTCCCAGTTTGTTTTTGAGAAAGGATCTCACTAACTTTTGCCTGGACTGGCCTTGAATGGTGATCCTCTATCTCCAACTTCTGAGTCGCTGGGATTACAGGTGTGGATCACCATGTCCAGCCAATGTCCTTTTTAACTCTAAAGAAAACCTTACTGAAATAATATAAGAAAAACATATAAAGCACAAAGATTCTGAACTTAGGAGTTATTTTTGATTTGCCAGTCTCTAAATATCTAAGTCACTAAATGGGGCCCTGGGGACCTAATATGGGCATTTTCATTTTTCCAGGTCATTAGTTCTTACTCAGGAATGATTTTGTCACCCAGTGGACATTCTGCAGTGTTCGGAGACACTGATGATTGCCAAGCTGTCACAACTGCAGGACAAATTTTTCTGGGGGGGTGGGGGTGGTGGTGCACAGACATAATGGGTAATACATAGGACAGTGCCACACAACTATTTTGCCCAAAACCTAACAGTGTAAAAGTTGAGAACCTTGCTCCAAGTACATGTTCTCCTTTTTTATTTTTGGCAGTACTGGGGTTTGAACTCAGGGCTTCACACTGGCTAGGCAGGTGCTCTACCCCTTGAGCCATGCCTCCAGCATATGCTCTCCTTTTGAGATTCTATCTTTTTCCATATATATCAATATATAGATAGATAGATAAACCCATTTTCATTTCAAATTTCTAGCCTAAAGTTGATTTTACCTTTCATAAAGCTATTTCTCTCACAGCCAGTCTCTTACCATCCATGTACGTGCTGACTATAAATGTAGTTAGCCTTGGTGTTTTTTACTCTGTCTCCTTTACCCAGTTCCTATTGATTCTACATTCAAAACATACCTCATATTCACCTACCTCACTCCATATCCACTGCCTCCTCTGGTTCAAGTCCCCATCATCTTTTCCTCAACTTCTGCAGCAGTCTCCTAATTAGTCTGTTTTCACTCTTGCCCGCTCTAGACCATCCTTACAGACCAGCCAAAGATGGAATCCAAACTCTATTTGATCTGGCCCCTGCCTTTTTCTCTAACCTCATCTGGCTTCCCTTCTGCTCTCTGAATACTCCACCCTTTCTTGAGTCAGCCACTTTAGTTTTGCTAATACCTCTACCTGACTCTTTCTGGAACTGGATTCTTGTCATTCATATGTTCCCACTCAATGCTATCTACTCAAAAAGGCATTCTCTAGCTACTCCCTTTAAAGTACACTTCTTCCATTACTGTCTAGTACAATATGGTGCTAATCACCAACATAGCACTTTCCCAACAAGAAATTTTGTTGTCTATCTGCTTACTGTGTATCTTTCTCTCCTGGAATACAAAAATTAGCTCCTTAGGGAGAGAGATAGTAGCTATCATTTTTCTACTTCTTCTTAGTATTTAACAGACTGCCTTGCATGTGCTCATAAAGAGTTGTGAATGAAGGAATTTCTTAGTTTCTCTAGTTCTATTGCAATTGGTCCCTGAATGTTAAGTTTTCCAGAGGCTTTGACCCAGAAGATCATGGCTGAGCCCAATTAGGATGAGCATTCAGAACAGGACCTGGGTATGGAAACAGGAGTCTGAAAAGGTTTGAGTAGCATCTATGATATATTCTGGTACAATGAGGGAACAAAATAAGGACAGATCTAAGTCCACGTGGGAGGCTGGGACTGATTCCGCTAACCACTGAATTCTTTAACACTGTGTTTTAAGGACATCTGTAAGTGTTCCTGCTCCTCAGGCCCTATTCTCTCTTCTTTTTGGTACTTTCTCCACAGATGGTTTTGTCTGGGCCCTTTGCCTTAAGTACTAGGTTATCTTCAGTCTAGTCTGCTCCTCTTAGTTCCAAATTTCTATACAAGCACCTACTTAAAATTTTCATTTAGGTGTTGTTATGGAAGAAATTGAGTCCACAGGGTTTTAAAATCTGTATGTTGAAGCACTAACTCCCAAGGTAACTGAATTTGGAGACACAGCCTTTAAAGTGGCAGGGTTGATTTAGACTGGTGGGAGTCTAAATCAATAGGACAGGTATCTTTAAAAGAAAAGGAAGAGATATTTGTGAGGTATACTCACTGAGGAAAAGGGCATGTGAGACACAAGTAGAAAATGGTTCTCTGTAAACCAAGGAGAAAGGCCTGAGGAGAAACCAACCATGATGTTGGCACCTTGATGTTGGACTTCCAGCATTAGAACTGTGAGAAAATAAATTTAAGTTATCCAGCCTTTGGTATTTCATTATGGCAGCCCTAGCAGATAGCTATCTGGCATCTAAACCAGGTGTCAAACACATTTCACATCTAACATATAACCTAAATATTTGAGTTCTACCCTTTTAAACTCTAGCAGTCCCCATCTGAGTAAAGGGCATACTAAACATGCAGACACTCAGGCCAGACCTAAGGGTTGTCTTTGATTTCCTTTCCTCCTTCCTCAAGCTGCCTTCCCCAGGATGCCTTCCACAGGAACATCACAAGTCTGTTGATTCAAACACTAAAATATATTTTGAACCTGTCCCCTTTCACCTTTTTCAGTGTCTCTTCAGTCCAAGCCACCACTGCTTCCAACTTTCCCACTACACTGGAGCACAGCTGAGGCTTTCAGAACACAAACTCATCAAACTGCCCAATGCCCCTCAGTAATTGTCCCTTCAACAACTTTTTCCTGCACTCAGAAAGCAATCCAAACTCTTTTTCCTGGTCTGCAAGGCCCTCAACCTGGTGCCAGTCTCCCTCTCTCACCTTCTCTAGGTTGGCTCTCCCTTTTCTTTTCTGCAAACACTCAAAGCTCTTTCTTGCTTCTGAAACTGTACTAAACACTTGGTATCTGCTTATAGTGTTCATTTTCCATTTACGGGCCCAGTTCTTTCCAGTCCTTTTTAGTTTTAGACTAAAGAACTCTATTCTGAGTGACAAGCTGTATGTAAGGTTGTCCTCATGCTATTCCCTATTGCCAGCTTCTTCTTTTCGTCTAAGGACATTCTGCACCTTGCAGTTCTTTTTTTTATTTGCCTATTCAGTTTTAGTTATTTGTCTCTGTTGTCTCCAAACCTTGAGGGAGGAACTGAAACAGTCTCTAATCTTGTTCATCGCTCTCATCTAATGGTTCACAAACTGGGACTCTGCATTCTTGTTAAATGAATGCTTATAATGTGACCTAATTTTATATGTAACTTATAAAACGTTTAAAAATGAACAGGGAGATGAAATAGAGAATCAAAGCTAAACAAATGTTTACCTAATACTCACTTACGTGATGAGAAAGACATTCTTTAAAACACTTAATTTTACATGTGGTCCCACAGTATTTTCCCTAAAAGCAAAGATACAGTGTTAAAGTAAAATTTAACACGGTAAGATTAAGGTAGATTAAGGAAGAAAACAGGAACAATTTGGATGTCATATTTTGCTAGTGATTATTAGGTACTCTTTTTACCTAATAATAAAAACAAGTAACTAGACTGATCAGACAGATGAGTAAATCATTAAATAAAATACTAGCAGAGGCTGAGCATGGTGGCTCAGCCACCCAGCTACTTGGGAGATCAGGAGGATCACAGTTCAAAGCTAACCCAGGCAAAAAGTTAGCTCCATGGGGTTGACCCCATGTCAACCATTAAGTTGGGTGTGGTGTCATGCACCTGCCACCTTAGGTACTAGGAAGCCATAGGTAGGAGGATCAAAGTCTAAGTTCAGTCTGGGCAAAAACATGAGCCTCTATCTGAAAAATAGTTAAAGCAAAAAAGGGATATGGGTGTAGTTCAAGTGGTAGAGTGCCTGCCTAGCAAGTGCTAAATTATTTTTATAGGCGATTTAAAGCTTAATATTACATCTATTCACAGATCTATAAATTTAGATACAAATACAAAATTTTACCAGAATCTGTGCATCTTCCAACTGCCGACACTGCACATGAAGAACAAATGGTTCAAATTTCAAAACGGCATCACCATTTGCTTTCTTCAGGGCTACCATCTAAATGAAGAAAAAGTGGTAACTCAGACACAACTATTAGGTCCTTTGAGGACCCTTTGCCTCATAGATAACTTTAATTTTTCCTAGACATTTTTAGGCACACTCAAGCATCCTTTTTCTGAAATAACTCTTCCTCTGCTTTCTTGGTCCTCTTTCATCAAAAGCTTATTAATTTGGTTATCTTCCTAAGACTTGGCTTCTAACCTACCACAAACCTTCTGCCTTATGTACCATTTTCCAACCATCACTGTACCCTGAAAAAGTACACTATCTTATTTAGTTGCTAGCAGACTTATTATTAAGGAATGTGGTACATAAAAACTGCAGTAAGAAGACTGTTTAAATTTTCTATGGTTAGATTGAGACAGAAATATAGGTATTATGAGAAAAGGGTCCAAACAAGGTCTAATGCCTTCCCTGGGTTCAAGGACTTTGTGTTTGGTACAGGATGTACTGGTAAGCTAGCAAGTCATATTGCATACAAATAACTCAGAGCACAGTCAGTACATTCCTCTTCCCTCTGTATTGGACACAAGTAAATTTCCTTAGAATTGCTTACTTATTTGTGCAGCCCCCATAGGGCTCTTTTGCTGCAGCACAAAGTGGGGTGCATTCAGTCCTCATCAGCTTTGTTATGGATCTGCTAGCCATGAGGTCTGACACATTGCAAGGTGCTGGATCTTGTACTATCTCTCTCCTCTTTCTGTAAGTAAACATTATACCACTTGAGCCTAGTGCATGCTTTCTGTTCTTAGAAACCTTGAGTTATGCGCATGGTCTCTTTCTTGCATGGCTCTACCTGTCTTTTGACCTTGGTTACCCTCAAGTTATAATTTATACTGCAACACAGCCTGACCACCTAATGAACATGTAATATTTTGCCTAAGCTAGAATTTGTACAAAACAGTTATAATTTCTGTCTGTTTAACAATCATGAGCAGCACCCTCCTTCCTTTACACTATTTGACTCCAGTAGGACTGTCAATCATGAACCTGTCACTCATCATTCTGTTATGTCAGAATCCTCAGATGCCTGTGTCTAATTAAGGACATTGTAGCATTCCACTAGTAAAAATAATTGATCTATAAAGAACACCTAATCCTTGTAGAACAACTCAGAGTCTTCCTCTGATAGTCTTTTTCTGCCAGGGTTGCTGGCAGCTATCATTTCTGCCACAAAGATTATCTGCAGCAGAAGAAGATAAGAGCAAACATGCAGAGAACCAGTTCCCAAAGACGGACATAAAGGGAGCAGTTGGAAGACAACATCTGAGCATCTGAACCAGCAGTGCCTGATTTCATCTCCAACTCTGTCCCTTCTAGTTAAATATGCTGTATCTTCTTTTATGTATGATGTATTTGGACTTCTAAAACCATTGGAAATGAAAAGTGCCTGGCTAATACAAACTTACATGAACTCATCAAAACACTTCAATTTAGGAAACTAAATAACTGAGCAGATATGAAGACATTCCAGAAGCAATCTAGGTAAGTAATATATGACTTATTTGCAACAGCGAAGCCTGTGTTGCACAGACAGGGCTAATCCCTTTCTCTTTCTGTAATTTCTTCCACATTACAGACTTATTAAACAGCAGAACTGAAATTCAAAATTTGGATCCAAAACATCCAACATACTTCATGAACTTTCTGCGATGACCAGGAGGATGTGTTTCATTAAGCTGCAGTTATGCTTGCACCCAAATTTATACGTCCACACTTTTGTCTCCTATAATCCCAAAAAAGCCACTAATAAATGCTTTCCAGGTTTTATAATCTTCACCCACTATAATTATATGCATAAATCACCTTGAATACTCTATTCTTTTCATACGTTTTTAAAGTTACTGTGGCCATGCATAGTTTCAGGACTCAGTAGGTGGAGATAGGAATTGGTAGTTTAAGGCCAGCCATGGTCATAAAAAAAAAAAAAACAATTAACTAAAAAAAAATACTAAAAAAAAGCATCTGTGAATTAAAAAGTTTATATATAAATGTATATGTAAAGACTTACCACATCCTCTTTTACACAAGGTTTGTGTGTAACTAGTAGCCAGCAACAGTTTTGTTTCTGAACCTGGAAACCATCTATAACCTAAAATAACAATATAGTTTATCATAAAATATTTATAAATATAGTAAGTACAACACATACATAATATTACAGGCTTTCTTAAACTAACAATGTTAAGCATTACTGAACACAATTCAATACATTATGGAGTAAAGTTGGTCCAAAACAAAATTGAACCCAAATAACTTGACATGATTTGAAAGGTAAGGGTATTCAATAAATATTTGCTAAAATATGGTTATTTTGTTGTTGCTTGTTTGCAGTGCTGAGGATTGAAAACAGGGCCTCATGAATGCTAAGCAAGTGTTCTACCACTGAGCCACCCCCCACCCCAGCCTGGGCACGTTTTTGTTGGAGGAAAAGGTTAATGAGGGGTTCTATTCTAGCTGTTTTATTTGGATAGCAAAGTACTAAAAAAAAGAAAATTAACTTGAATTCCTTTTGTGAGCCAATATTACCTTAATACCACATAAGACGTACCACTCTTTACTGACACCTGTGATATTCATATTTTACAATATTTTCCTGGTCTCTGTGGCCATATATTTGTGATTTCTGTATTAAACTTAATTTTTAACATTGATTTAAACTTAACAAATGTTTCTTTGCAAAGTTCTACCAGGTATACATGGATCCTAAGACACTGGAAAGAGAATGTAGGAAACCACATGCACAAAAATGACTATACTTTTACAAAGTAGTATTTATATAATGGAGCCACAGGAGACTCTGCCATCTGGCCTTCAGAAACTGTATATATCCTGAATCACTTTGGCTTTCATTGTCAGACTAGTAACTCATGTATCTGAACTTGTGATGGCTGCTATCAATCTCAGAGCCTATGTGTGGGTCACTTTTGCCAAGTTTACAAGATGTAATGTCATGATTTGGGAACTACTATCATCTCTGGTCTATCTTATTTCCTTCATCCAAATTTTCCCATGTTTTATTAGTTTTTTTCCTTTCTGTAAGTTGCTCAAAATCCTTCCTGAAATAAGGCAGAGTAAAAAAGAAATGCAAGGTATAAAATAATAAATGAAAAGATTCAGATAAAATCCTAAACCAGTTCAGAAGAAGCAACCATTATTTCCAAGTGGTTAGTTTGTGTTTATGTTGGTGTGTGTATGTATGTGTGCTCAGGGAGAAGAGGGGATATCTGTAATCATGTCTTAGACATACAAAGATAGGAAAAACATTTCAAAAAGGAAAACATTAGACAAAAGCAAGTAAGCACAAGATTAGAAAGAATAGTTCAGTTTTGGTAACTAGCTAAAGATGAAGAAAAGAAGTGGAAAATAAGAACAGAAAAGTGTATGACAACAGAGGTTTAGACTTTCTGATTTAAAAAAATGTATAATAAAACATTTCAGGACAGGTGACAAACTGTATTCTCCTTTAAAAAAGCAAATCTGTGCAATGGTGTGGTGGCCATGCCTGGAATCTCAGTACTCAGGAGGTGGAGGTAGGAGGATCATAGTTGGAGGCCAACCAAGGTCAAATTGTGACCCTCTGACAAACAAAAAGCAAAAGGACTAGGAGTTTGGCTCAAGTGGTACAGAAAAAGGCAATCGCTAGTGTGCAACATGGTTTGGAGGAGAAAGAATAGTGGTTCAGTAACTTACTAGAAAAAGACTGCAAAAATCCTGGTGAGGTGGGGTAATGGAAAATAAAAGAGAGAGTGTGTGTGGGCAAGTATGCCAGTGTTTAAGATGAAATGGAAACAATGTAAAAGTAAATAGGCCTCACTAATTTGGGAAGTCAGCAAATGCTCATTGCTGGACCTCCGGAACGAACCTATGAATGGCTATCTTCCATGTTGTGAACGCTCATAAAAATGAAACACGGGTAACTTTGAGCCAAGCATGATGACAAATGTTCTAAAAAATGACCCTATTTCCTCCACACAAAATTTCTACAAAGCGAATACTTTTTTATTATTCGCCACTCATGGGACAGGAAGGGGCTTAGTTTAGGCAACTTCCCTAAGGTCTCATAGCCAATATTCCCAATAAATGATTTGGATTCCAAACGTCACTGCAAAGCCTGTGAACTTGACCTCTGTCTCCTACAGGATGCTACAGTGTTCACTGCTGGGTAAAAACTACCCCAGCTCTAAGAATGGAGTGGGCCACTAGGAGGCAGTGAACTTCCTAACTCTTGTGAGGTTTCTCTTGTAGGAACAATGATTTGGTTGTGAGATTGAAGTGCGCCAGATAGAAAGTCTTTAAATCCCTTTAGTATTAAAAAAAAAATGAATTTCTAAGATTCTTGCCCCTTTGGCCATCATTGGGGTACTTGTCAGAAATGCACACTACCATACCCTGTTCTATTAAGAGATCCCGAAGTGATTCCGTTCTGGAAGCTCTGGTCTGCCCCATTCTCCCACTTTCACGACCGGGACAGACAGACACGCCGGCGAGCCGGGGCGCCACGGACCTCACCCCGTCCAGAAGGAGGACGCGGCCAGCGCAGGAACTGGTGGTGAAAAACTGCTCACGCGCATTCAGGAGCTGCACGAGCCCCACCACGTCCTCGTCCACGCTGCCTTTGCGGCTGAGGTCGGCTTTGCTCAGACACTGCTCCTTCCACCTGTGGAACTCCGCGCTGCGCTCCATGCGCGCCGGCTCTAGAGCCCGCACTCTCCACTCCCACGAGGGTCTCTGCGCTCCCTGCGCGCAGCCATGTTGCAGCGGGCGGTGGCCAGCAATGGACAAACTTCCCTCGCCTTTCCCTCTCCGCGTTAGGGGAGGGGCGTGAGCCAGGCGGAGCCTGCAAAAGTTAGCCACAGCCGGCCCACTGGTCGGCTGTAACCCGAGGGGAGTTCTAGCAGATTCTGATCTCACTCCGGAAGCGGGGTAAGTGGTTTAAAACAGTCCCCTGAGTTGTTCAGCCTGCGCATCTTCACTCCGCTGGTCCAAATGGAAAGGAGCCTGTGTCTGCACTTCTGTCCTCACCTCTGTCTGCCTCTGCCCTCAACCTCCAGGATCAAAGCAAAGGAGGCCATTCCTCTAACGGGACAGCAAGTTCCCAGCTGTCAGTCGGCTGGGGAGGTTTCCCTGCGGGTCCTGGGTTCCTTCTTGCTGCCCTGCCCCTGCCCGCGGAGCTGGCCCACCGGTCGCCCAGGGCTCCATCCCTCCTGGGTTCCAGAGGCCCTGCCTGGTTTCCCAGGGCTCTTTCCTCTTGGCCTCCTCCTGCCTGCCCACAGGGTTGCAGTTTTCTTTTCGGATAAAAACGTAAATACTTTTATTGACCCTCTGACCTCCATCTGGAATAGTCTTCAGATGAAAAATAACAAAACACCCTGTTAACACATGGTTATATGTTCACAGAATTTCCAGAGGCCACTCAGCTCAGTGACCAGAGAAGGTGCGTTAATGGTTGAAGGATATAAAGGTTAAAGTTTGGACTTTTTATCTTCTGCTAATGGAAATGTTAATGTGAGGCCATAGTGACTTTGGTCACTGACCTAATGAACTGAACTCTCCAAACATTGGAGAGCAGCTTGCCTCACCCATCCAAACCTAACATCGCAGACCCCCGTGGGGTTCAGAATTATCTGAATTATTAACCTCTTGCCCTCAACAAAGAGATGAAGAGTGGGACAAGATTATACAGCCAGGAAGAGAATATGCATACATACATTCATGCATATATGCATGTATTTCTAAGCTAAGAATAATATACCAAATACGTCCATGAGTCATTCTTGATCAGCAACAGCAATTATGTGATGATTTAATGATTGGTACTCTTTCCAGGTTTTCTTTTAAAATGTTTCTCAGCCCCCTCCCCCCAGAAATTCTTACTAATTTTACTTCTCTCATCTAATAATGTGCCCTTTCTCTGGCTTTGTGAATTAATTAGTCACTCTATGAATATACTTCTAGAATTGTTCCCATTCCTTTTTCATTTAAACCTTACAGATTGAAGTATACCCTGGGAAAGATCACCGTTAGAAGAATTTCATATTTTGAATGTCTTAGATTTGGGAGTATGGTTGGCAACCATTCTGAAGTAAAAAGTAAAACAAAAAATATTAAGCCAAGGTACTCCAAGTAATTTTTGAACGTGTGTATTTGACGGCTAGACAGTATTAGAGCCACAGCTGAATGAGAAAATACAAGCAACAGAAAGGCTTGCCTGTCTGCTGTGAGACCACAGATGATTTAGTCTAAATGATACAAAGCTTACTGTGTGCTAGGTTTGCTGTGAAGGATTCTGACAGTGTTGTTGCACTTAACCTTCTTGAGGACGCGTGCTAGGGAGTACTGTCTACCCTTTTTACAGATAAGGAAATAGTAACTGTCCTAATAGACTCCTATCTGTTGTAGTTCTCTTGTTCCTAACTTGTGGGCATTTGAAAAACTTTGAGCTCTTAAATGGATGCTTTAATTATAAAATATGGGATCCTACCTGTAGGTTAAAGTTCATACTTCTAGCTCTGCTTTCACAGTATCATTATAAAATTTATTTCTAAGGAATTCATGGCTGATCTATGCCAACTTTTCCAAGGGTGAGATTTAAAGGCATATACAATAAGGAAAGAGAAAAAATCATCTAAAAGCATTTAAGGTACAGGACTTAAATGCTTCAGGTTTCTAAACTGCTTGTGATTTTGGTGGGGAGGATGGTTGAAGAGTATATTAGGGTTTGGATTCAGGGCCTTGTGCTTGCTAGGCAAATGCTCTGTCACTTGAGTCACATCTCCAGTCCTTTTTTACTTGAGTTATTATTCAGGTAGGGTCTCATTTTTGCTCAGGGCTGGCCTCCTGCACAGCTGGAATTACAGAATCACATCACAACATCATCCTCGCTTATTGGGTCTTGCTAACTTTTTGCAAGACTGGCCTCTGTCCTCATTGCCACATCCAGAGTAGCTGGGATTACAGGCATGAGCCACTTCAACCAGCTGTGATATTTTCTTATTCATAAAATGGTGATTTTATTTTTCTTCTGCATAAAATGACTTTCAATAACTATTGATTTCCTACCTGTTGTGAAAATAATTAAATCATTTAATTAAATAATTAAATGAATGATTTAATTCCTCATGGTTTTTGTAAAGAAAAACTCAAATATTGTGGGGTTTAAGAATTATCCTAATTACTATTCGTATGTCCTGTTGTTTTATTCTTTTTGTAATACCCTTTGATGTAACACCAGTATTAGGAAACAGATGATGATTCTGTAGTCTAGTTCAAAGGCAGTGAGTGCAGATTGGAGCCTGATCAATCAGAATGGCAAAGGCTCAGTGGGAGAAAGATCAAGAGAAGCAAAGTAGAAGAGGGGCTGTCAAGGTCATGCCCTATCTCTTCACAAGCACCAAGGACAAGAGGTAGGACTGGGCAAGGCAGATGGGTCTCTTAAACCCAGTATTAAGTATGAGTCTTCTCTCTCTTTTGATCTTTTCTCCCAGTTTAGCCAATGCCAAACTGTAGGGGAAGTAAATGTGTTAGATACAAGATACAGATCCTAGTTCAGAATAGTTTTGTTTTATATTACTGCAGAATTGTGAGTATAGTAGTGATACCTGTGATGGAAAGAAAGATGTGAGTGTTTGAAGGAAATAAGTAGGATGTAGGTAGACACTGAATGCATAAAGGATATCTTCATGGTGTGTGTGTGTGTGTGTGTGTGTGTGTGTGTGTGTGTGTATGAGAGAGAGAGAGAGGGAGAGAGAGAGAGAGAGAACAGTGTTCAGAAGAGCTGAGGGCATAGGGCATTTCTTCTCTGCCCTCTGTTTTCTGGGTTTAGCACAGTACTTCACATTTAATGTGCAAAAAATACATGTTGAATGAGTAACAACCAATGTTTGGTATTAATGTGCTTTGTTTAAATGATTACCTAGGCTTAATATTTTGAGGGTAAGAGCTTGTTTTTATAGCCAGGGTCTGGTATACATTGTTGTATTAAATTTAGAATGACCATAGAATGATAGACTGGAGTATATGTGTATGAATAAGAAACTGGATGAAAGAATAGATGGGAAAGGGATAGAGATAGGTACTGTGTGCAGAGGCCTAGGTTTGATAAGTCCTGTGCTTGGTGCTTGCCCTGTCTCCAGCATAGTAATTGAATGGGAGCACAGTTTTCAGATGAGGAAACTGAGGCCAAAAGGTTGACTCTATTGCCCAAGTCCATGTTACTAATAAATGATAGAGTGGGAGTCAAACCCAGGGATGTCACAGGGCTGTCAGATTCCAAATCCCACACTCTTTCTGTGACATCATGTTGAAAAGGAGAAAAAGAAATAAAAAAAATCTCAGTATTCTTATTTCCACCATGGAAAACTCTGTTCTGGGGAACTTTTACTTTTACTTTTTCTGTTTCATTTTCTTTCCATCTTCACTTTTTGTCTAAGAAAATCCCTGCTTGAGTGCTGGGTAGGACTGGCTGCTTTTTCCCCAGCCTGTGTCTCTGACATATCTATGGTCCTACCCTCACAACTGCTGCACATCTTGCTACTGTAGTGTGCACTAAGGTTCAGGCCCTCTGCCTGTAGCTGCCTCTACCTATTCAAAGACTTCTTGTCAGGGTACATTATTGCTAAATGATCTTTGGAAATTGACCTTTCTCCTAGGTGCTAGGCACTATTTTAAATCATGTAACTAGAAAATTTTAAAATGACACAAATATTTGATTAACTATATTAAGAACTCCCTATTAATGACATCACTAAAATACGTTTGTTCCCTGTCCCATGTGAGTGTAATGACATTTTATAACCAGCACAGCCTTTGTTCTGTGTAGTCCTATGCTAATCTCGGATACAGTCTGAATTCTTTCATCACAGGTCCTGATTTCTGCAAGTCTCTGATATTTAAAACACTTGTGTTTGAGTGACATGATTGTTCCAGAAGTTAGCAAAAATGTTCTAGGTGGTGGTGGAATCTAACAATATTTGATTTGGTTTATTTCCAGAAATTGATATAACTTGCAAGTGAAATTATAAAGATACAGGCAAAGCTCTTCTATGTCTTGCAGATACAGAAGATTTTCCAGAGTTATATAACTTTATATAGTAAATGCTCTTTGCATTTTCTTAGGGTTTATTTTTAATGCTGAGTTTTCTTTTCAGTTTAATATTAACAGTGGTAGAACAGAAGGTTAACCTGAGTTCTTGTAGTTTACAAAAGATTGCAAAGATTGTATACTAGTCAGGGTTTTCAGTTTTTTTATGTTTCCCCCTTTTATTAAATGAGCTACACAAAGCTAAGCATTTTAACATGGATAAATCTAAAAAAATTAATGCTGAAAGGAAAAGACAAATGTCAGAATTAAGTACAATAAAATCTAAATACAGTTATAAAACATGCAAAATAATAGCACATGTTTCTTACTAATATATACACATGTTGTAGTGGTATAACCTGCTTGGAAATTTTTAGCACTGAATTTATAGTAATAATCACCTCTTGCAAGGATGGAACAGAAATGGTTTTGGAGTTGGGTATAGCACACTTAAATTATATCGATAATATTTTAGGTTAAAAAAAGGTAAGATTTTTTAAAGGTATAAATGTATCTATTATATTCTTTGCTTTTTGTTTACTACTTTTCTCTATGCTTGAAATATTTCATAATCCAAGAAAAGGAGGTCTGTTCAGCCAAATGTTCGTGAATCTGATATTAGCTCCTAAAATTTCCAAGATGTTGCAATTCAAACTCACACAAATGAAAAGATAAGACATGGTATCATGCTATGTCTGTCCAGATGTTTTTGTTTGCATGTTTCATTCCCTTGTCAAAGGCGCTGAATCCCCACAGCAAGTAATATGGAGTATTTTGCTTTGTAGCTGAAGGATTTGTAAGATGAAAGGTCCTTAAACATGAAATGAGATCAGTGGTAAGCTCATGATTTAAATTGTTGTTTGAAAAATTGTTTGATCTAGCCCCTCCAGGGGGAAAAGCATAGTGATAGCTTAGAGACAATATGATAATATATTAATTTTTTTCTCAGTATCTAGATCACCATGGCAACTGTACAGAAATTGATGAGGGCTATTCGAGTTTATGAATTTGGTGGACCAGAAGTGCTGAAACTCCAGTCGGATGTTGTAGTACCAGCTCCAAAAGACCATCAGGTGGAAATAATCATTCTACTAAGGCAGTGATTACACTGAATGTGAGATCCTTGCACATCAAGTTAGTGTTCAAAGGAAGCAAACTAACAATGATTTATAAAGACAATGAATTAGGAACCATATGAACCCTGGCAAAATTAACGTAGATAATAATTAGTGAAGAGGTCTAAGAAAAGGAATAACCTCTGGTTATAAATAAATTTTTGAAGTTGAGGATTAACTATGGTATAATAGTTGGAATTTCTGAGTGAAGTCATAAGTAGTTTATGAATAAGTTTCCATATTGCAAACTTCCATGATTTCAATTTTGCACATTGTGGAAAGATAATTTCCTTCTGCATTCATGCTTTTTCACACATGATTTAAGAGAATTTAATTGTAGAACTTAATTATCTCTGGTGACTTAAAAATATCCTTTTGGTTCAAAATTATGTATTTTTTAACTGTACTTTCCACAGCTCCCAATTCTAATTTCCTTAGCAAACATTATGAGAGTGTTTAAAATTTGGCTATTACCTCTCTCTACAGCTTTATTTCTTCTTACTTTTGCAATAATCTGTGCTGTAACAATATTAAATTTTTTCCAGTTTCCCCAGAGCCCTTTCATTCCTTCTGCCCTTGTACATACTATTCCTTTCACCAGAAGTATTCTTTTTCTCCCCTTCCTACAGATTTTCTTCTCATCTTTTCAGGCCTACCTCAAATACTCCTTCCTCTATAATGCCTTCCTGTACTTTTATAACAGAGATAATCATTCTGTATTGAGGTCAAAATGGTAAAATAAGCTCCTCTATTAGATACTACCTCCAAATCACATTGGTTCAACAATAAAAAATTATTTCCTGAATTCTAAAATATTAGTGGGTGATGCTCCTCCAACAGTGACTTAGGGACCCAAGCTTCTTTCATCATACAAGCTTGCTTCCTTTAGCACCTGACGTTTTTAGCATAAAGGCTAACAGCATAGTGTGGATTGCCTGGGAAAAATTTTATGGTCCAGGCCTGCAAGTGGCTCGCATAACCACAAGTGCTCACATTCCATTGGCTAGAACTCAGTTCTTTGATTACTCACAATTGTGAAGGAGGCCAGGAAATAATGTTCTTCCCATATGCCTAAAAAGAGGTGGAAGTAGGTTTGATGGACACATAGAGCTCTCTTCCATGCACTCCCTGAAGTATTGTTTCTACTGTTTTTCCCAAATGTTTTGAATATAGTACATAAGCCATTCTGTCTTACCTTTTTATTTATATATTGGCTTGCAAAGGCATGGCATTGTTTTTTCTGTTTTCTGCAATTTTATGGCTTTCACAATCTGCAGTTACAGCATAATTCTAATTTAATGCGCAAATGCTCCACATGAACTAAAATACATTGTCATTGCAGGTTCTAATCAAAGTCCATGCATGTGGTGTAAACCCTGTGGAAACTTACATTCGCTCTGGTACTTACAGTAGAAAACCACTCTTACCCTACACTCCTGGCACCGATGTGGCTGGGGTAATAGAATCTGTTGGAAATAATGTTTCTTCTTTTAAGGTATTACACTTTTAATTATTTCTATTTTGACTTAATATTTTTAAAATGTGTTTGTATTTAAGGTTTTTAAATGCCCCATTTCATAATTTCTGTCACTTGGGGGACTCCTCTAGTCAAAAGATAAATCTTTTCTTTTCCAGAGTCCTTGTTTGTTTGCATTCTTGGGAATAAATGCTGGATAATGTCTGTATCCTCACAACTCCACAGAATGAACTGTTTGTTGTCTTTGTAATAGGAATGTGTAAATAAAGAAAACAAATAATGAAATTATACCATTTCCTAACTCTTTATAATACACAAGCCAACATAATTTTTAATTTTTTAAACAAATTTAGTTTCACAAAATAAAGAAGAAGTTCATTCTTTCCAAGAATAAGTAAAACAAGTAAACAGGCAAGGTCACTGTACAATTTCAGAGCTGTGAACCAGGCCAAGGTCAGTGAAAGTGTTATGATCAGGGTTTTTGTTATTTATATGCCAAAAGACATAAACAGCATCAATGATGCATTGCTGGTACACTCATGCTCTAGTGTCACTCCTTATAGTCTCTTGACCTGCTCAACTTTGGCAGCACAGTTACCAAAATTGGCCCGAGATGGAAGAGCTTAGCGTGCCCCTGCACAGGAAGACGGGCACATTCATACAGCTTTCCACTTCTCAGCCTCTGGCAATCTGGCTTCTGCCCCCATCTCTCTACTGAAATGACTCTTGCTAATGCCTCTGTATTGCTGAAGTTAATGGTCCCTTTTATGTCATTATCTTTCTTGACTTCACAGTGACATTTGACACTCAGCCACTTAACTTTTTCTTTAAAAAAAAAAAAAAGCCAACAACGTTTTCCTCAGCTTCTGTGACATCATTTTCTCCTGTCCCGTCTGTCTCCCTCCTCTCTGGGCATCATTTTTCCGTCCTCTTTGTCACTGGATGCTCCTCAGATTTTGCTGCTGCCTGGGGCTTTTGGTCCCCATTTAGACCTCTGCCCTTTGCATTAAGGATCTTTTCCTCGTGAAAAAGATCATCCCGGTCTCATGCTCTTCCCGTTTCCATTACCGCATGTGACATCATTAACTTAGACTTTTCTACTAAGCTCTAGAACTGTGCTGTCCAAAATGGTAGTCACTGGCCTTATGTGAAAAAAAAAAAAATTCAAATGAAATTAAATTTACTTGAAATCCAATTTCTAAGTGACAGTAGCATTTCAAGTGTTTAACAGTCCCATGCATCTAGCCGCTATCTCTGCATGGTGCAGATGTTGAACATTTCCAGCATCACAGAAAGCTGTGCTCAAGAGCACTGGGCCCATGTGGTTAGCCCCCCGGAACCCCTTTACTCAGTGCTGCTGAAGCTGAGCTCATCTGTTTTCACTGTGACTGTCTCGATGAAGCCTGAGGCTCGAGGCTTACTCCTATCAGTCTCCCTCACTTAGCTCTCCATGACAACATCACGTTTTCTCTCCTCCCTTGCCCACTGCCTGTAGTTTACTTACTTATCTACACCTGTCACCTGCACTTCTGTAACAGACACTTAGCTTTAAATACCTTCCTCCTTTCCCCTCGAATCTATCTTCACTCAAGAAAGAATTATTTTCTGGAATGTAAGTCAGCTTATTTATACTTCTGTTTGAGTCAGTTGCTTATGAATTTCAGGGTATTGATAAAGCTCTTAATTGTTCTAAAATAAGGCTGTTTGATGGTCTTTCCTGCTTGTCTTTCCATTCTTTTGGGGGATGTTGAGAATGGTACCAGAAGTTGAACTCAGGACTTCCTGCTTGCTAGGCAGGTGCTCTGCCACTTGAGCCCTACTCCATGTCTACACCTCCCCTGCTTTCTTTATTTTTGAGATAAGGTCTCTCTTTATGCCAGGGCTGGCCTGGATAGTGATTCTCCTATTTATGCTTCCCACATATCTGGGATGATAGGCACGTACCAATATGCTCAATTTTTATTTATTGAGATGGGGTCTTTTAAGCTTTTTTGCCCTTGATACCCTCTAACTATCCTCCTGGTCCCTGCCTCAGGAGTAACTAAGATTTATAGGCTTGAACCACTGTGCCTGGCCTCTTTCCATTCTTAGCTCCCATTCTCCCTCACTGTGTAGTTAGTTTTTCAGCAATGAGAACTGATTGTCCTTCCTTGTATATCCCACACTCTCATGTCCATGTCTTTGTTCTTATTGGAAGCAGAATTAATTTGAAACTTATACATGTGCATTCAAAGGGCTTTGTACTACAACTTTGATTTCTTTTTATTGTACCTCCTGAAACTATTGGATACCACACATGAGACGACTTACTTATTCAATGGGAATAAATGCTCATAATCTCTCCACATTTATTCCTGCTCCTATTCCTTTGATAATTTTCTTTCCTTCACCTATATTGACTCTTCCCAGTTCTAGTTGACAAAATGTAGGTCTTGAAGAACAGAACTACATTTTGTGTCTCAACTTGTTCATCTGGTAGTGGGGTCAATCTACAGTGGAGATAATAAAAGCGCTCACCTTCCATAGGCTGTTGTGAAGATCACAACATAGGATGATGTTCATAGCAAGATCTAGCTTTAGTAAGCTCTCAATAAAAGCAAGTTATCATCATCATCATCATTATTATGGCATGTTAAAGGCTCTCCTTTTATTTTCCCTTAATTTTTCTTTTCATTGGTTCCTATTGATAAAATATTTAAAAATATTTAGACTTATTTTTTATGAGCTCCTAAATTTTAGAAGGGTGTAAATACTTAAAAGTTCATTGTAAAGGGGTATATCCATCTAGGCATAATTTTGAGGTTCTGGTACATTTGTTAATTGATCTCTTCCCCAGAAAGGTGACAGGGTCTTCAGCACCAGCACAGTCTCAGGGGGCTATGCAGAGTATGCTGTCGCAGAAGATCACACAGTCTACCCACTTCCTGAGAAACTGGACTTCAAACAAGGAGCTGCCATCAGTATCCCGTACTTCACTGCCTATCGCGCTCTGCTCCACAGGTAACGACACACTCTGTAAATTCCATAGTTAGCACCAAAGGAGGACAGTGTTAACTGCCTTCCCTTTTGCCATCTGTCCATGTATCTGCCAGTCATTTTTGGTTATTTGTTATTTATCATTAAACATTTATGGAGCAGAAACCGGGCTAATTTGAGTGACTATGCTGATCACTGGGGACCCAAAGCAGAGAAAACACCATCCTCAAGTTACTTCCAGGCCAGTGAGGAATATAAACACAAGAGTAATAGCATTTATATATAATGTGGAAAGTCCAGTGGTAAGATGTACAGACAGATGTACATTGGAGATTTATAGGCTCACAAGGAATGTGCCTGTGGTAATAGTATGGTTTCCTGGAAAAGGGTGAGACTTGGATACTATTAAAGCCATGATTCAAAAATGCTGTTATCCCTTAGCATCATCTGGGCAGCAATTTAAAAGTGGGGCCCTACCCCAGCCCCAGTGGAACCTGAGAATCTGTATTTTGATCAAATCCCCTAGGCATTTGAAGAGGATCAGAGGGAATTTGTTTGAGAAAGGCTGGCAGGGAGGGGCTGGGATATTCTCAACGATGGGAATAGCACAGTCTGAGGAGATGACAGCATAATGTCTGGGTGATGTCTGGGTTTTGTTGGATAGAAGATTTCAAGGCAAAGAATGGCAAAAAATAAGGTTGTAACATTGTCTCAATAAATGTTACCTGCCATCATAAAATAGACAAGCTTCACATTGCAAAAAATTAGACTGTGTTGCTCATATATTGTTCTGTAAAGGACTGGGAATCACGAAGTGTTTTATTCATGAGAATGCTATTGTTATATTTGAGTTTTATTGAGATCACTTATCTGCTGTGTGAAGGATGGATTTCAGTATAAAAATGGAGGTGGGGTGCTGTAGGAGTCTCCTTTGGACAAAATCTTAATAGGCCAGAGCAAAGGCCATGGTAGAAGAGATGAAGAGGAAAGGACAACCTTTTAGAACAGGTAAAATCAGGAACATTTGGTGATTATTTTCAGGTAGAGAATGTGGGAGAAGAATGGTTTAAGGAATACTGGTAGCTTCCTAGTTTGGGTAATATAGAGCTGTGACAAAGAAAAAGAAGAAAAAATCTTGAAGGGAAACTATGTTCAGTTTGGAAATTGAAATTGTGATACTGACATCCCAGTGGAGAAGCCTAAAACTTGAACACTGGAGATATAAATTTGGGAATATCAGCATGTACGCGAGACAAGAGGGAAAATGATGGCAGTTCCTGGGGGAATGAGACTAGAACCCTAGGGAATATCAGCATTTAAGAGTATAGTCAAAGGAAGAGAACAGAGTCCTCAAGAACCAAAGGGAGTGGATTCTCAAGGCCAAGAGAGTATAGAGGTTATGATATTCATTAAGTATTCAATAAATATGTGGGCTTAGAAGGTGAAAAATCTGTACTATAGTAGTCTAGCAGTCACTATATGACCTTGGTCAAATTTCTTGCCCATTTCAGCTGTAGTTTACTGATTTGAAAAATATAGATGTTACCAGTACCTACCTCCAAGGGGTATGGTTAAAATTAAAATAAGTGACATATGTAAAGCTGTTAGGATAGCACAAGGCACAGCGTAAGTGCTGAGTCAACATTGAGAGTATTAGGGGTGATAGGTGAAAATGCTGCTAAGGAGGGAGGTTAGATGTCACATGTAGCAGTGAGGTCTGTGCAGAAAAAAACAAGTCGGCCTTAGCAATTAACAGGTCATGGATGACTTTAGTCAGATCATTTTCAGTAGAGTTCTGGAACAGAAGTTTAATTAAATGTTTTGAGGAAGGAAGAGGAAATGCATTTCTTAAATGGAGACACTTAAAATAATGGAGGAAACAGGAAGAAGAGAGTAAAGGATTACTTGGGGAAAGTTTGTTGTTGGTTTTTGTTTTTTGTTTTATTAAGATGGACAAGACTTGAACATATTTATAGTTGAGAAAGGATCTAGTGGGAAGAGTGACTGATGGAGTGACAAGATCCTGTGTAAGGCAAGATGGGATAGACTTAGGACATAAGTAGAAAAATGGGCTTTGAATATTGAAAAGGACAGCCCATCCCTAAAGGATAAAAATGGTATGGTTATGGAAAGATTTGTGGGTAGAGAGGTGGGGTGTTGAAGGAGCTTATATGTGATTACCTCACTTTTCATAATTGAGTAGGAGGCACAGTAAGAATCAGAGAATCAGAACTAAAGAGGACCAAAATACAGGGCCATAGGATTTTCTTCTGCAGTGCTTAGGCATTTGGATAAAGTTTCAAGTAAGTCAGATTTGAACATTAATCCAAGGCTAGAATATTGGTGGCAAAATGGAATGATACAAAGGAAAGGAGAACACTGAAGAGAGAGAAGTTGGGGTAATCTACCTTAAAGCCCAGAGTGAGCAGGGAAGGAAATGAGACCAGAGCACTCAGTGGGCAGAAGTGGAGCCATGGAGACGTTTTTAATCTCTGTGAGGTTAAAAAAAAAGATTTTGAAAGAATATGGCTTTCAGAGGAGATTACAGTGATAATATTGGTGGTTACTGTCTGATGATATTTCTCAGGTAGAATGGTTGCTGGTGTTTATCCTGGAAGAGAGTGGGTAAGATGGAGGAGAGGTCAAGTATTTTTGTGATAGTTTTTTTTCTTGATGAATATTGAAATCTAGAATGGGTTGGATCTGTGGTGCAAAAGTAAAGCTGCATGCTATGTCTTCCATGAGTAGAAGGCAGTAGGGGATAGCAGCGAGGAAGGTCTGGTGCTTTAGCCCATGCCATGAGCCCCAGGGGAAGATAACTGTTAGTCAAGGTTCTTCAGAGAGAAAGAACCAGAATATGTGTGCGTGTGTGTCTATGTCCACATCTATCTCTGTACATATACATATTCCTTAAAAATCAGTCAACTGATACATATACTGATTAACTGATTCTTAGGAATTGTCTTCCAAAATTGTGAATACATGGGAAGTCTAAAAATTTAATGAGTACTGGAGGGTTACAGTATCAGGAAGAGCTGCCGCTTAAGTTAACAGGCTGTCTGTGGCAGAATTCTTAGGGGAAATTGCTGGCACAATTGTTTAGGATGGTCAATCTTTGTTTGTGCAAGCCTTCACCTGATTGAATGAGGCCTCTGTACACTGTAAAGGGTATTCTGCTTTATTCAAGAACTACCAATTTAAATGTTAATCTCATTCAAAAAACACCTTCACAGAAACATCCACAAGTATGTTAGAACAAATATGATTTGTTTGATTAGGCAACTTTGCCTAATCAAGTTGATATGTGATATCAACCATCACATTGATTCTGTGCAGAAACAGAATGATCATACTAGTGAGGACATAGGAGAGGATTTGCCTGTTTTCCCCCACTCATTCCAGGTCTGAGTATTTTAGGAAACTATATCCTTATTGTTCAATGGGTTGTATATAGGATTTTCAAAAAAATTCATTGGGGAAGCTGGTGGCAAATGTCTGTAATTCTAGCTACCCACAAAGCAGAAATTGGGAGGATGGAGTTTGAAGGCCAGCCTAGGCAAAAAAAAGAGAGCCCTTATCTCAATGAAAAAAACTGGGTGTGGTGGCATGTGTTTGTCATCCCAGATACTCAGGAATCTTAAGTAGGAGGATTATGATATAGGACAGCCTAGGGGGAATAAAACATGAGGAGACCTTATCTAAAAAATAACTAAAATCAAAAAAGGAAGGGGGCATGACTCAAGTGGTAGAGCACTTGCCTAGCAAGTGTAAGGACCTGAGTTCAAACCCCTCAAAAAAAAAAAATCACCGAGAAGTAATTCATGTCCCATCATGTATCATTAGTAATCCTATCCCTTTATATTTGTATTTTGCTTTTTAAAATATCACAGATTTTTGGTAAGATTTTGTCATTCAAACCATGAGTTTCACTGTCTGTCCTCAATCCCCTTACTTCCAAGCAGAAGTGGAGAACTTTTCATTTGTTTCTCATTGCCATTTATCAGCTGATGGCACACAGCCATGAGCAGGGACTCCAGGTTCTGTGTTCTTGTTCCAGATTGAGCACGGTGTCTCTGGAGAGTGGCCAGCCCACCTTGTTCTAGGAAGTGAGAGTTCCTCCCCACTTGGACATTAGCACTTGTCTGTCTAGAACAATGAGGCACCCCTCACTGTTGTGCCTCTTCCTCACTTCCAGTGTGTAATAGAAATGTAGTAGTGTGAACTAGAAGTGATAAGAATATGTGTATTCACTAGAGAATCTGGACATTTTGGAACTTTTGTGACAGGATTTGTTCTATGTCCTTTGCTGACTCTGCACAACTTTCTGAAATGAGAGTTTAGAGGCAATCTGACATTCAAAGTCATAAAGAAGCAAAAACGCTTAGTCCAGTTGCTGTGCTTACCTGGGCATTGCTCCGGACCACAGAATAAAGACTGAGCTATAATAAATCTGCCTGGAGACCCTTTGTGAGACATGTGGGAATGAGAGACTGGTTCCTCCAGGCTCAGCAGTTCCACCTACACCCACAAGGACTACTGTCTCTCTGGGATCACAGCATGGTGCCTGACACAGAATGACTCCCAGTAAACATTTGTTGAGTGAATAAAGGAATTGAGGATCTTCTTTTATCAGTGACTTTAAAGAACCATCTTTTGATCCTGTTGATCTTAGAGAATATTTTGGGCTAGGTATCAGGATGCATTTTCTCTTTGGGTAAATGTTAGCTGTCCTAAGCATAGTAATGCCTTAAAGATAATGAAAAATACCTGACCCTAATTAGATTTAACGCATAAAGTGATAGGACCTGTGCTTTCTTTTGCAGTGCCCGTGTGAAAGCTGGAGAAACTGTTCTGGTTCATGGGGCCAGTGGAGGAGTAAGTGTTGTTTTAAGTTTATTTTACATGAGCATGTTTTTGTGGATTTCACATTATACTAGTTTAAGTCATTTTTAAAAACCAGTCTTACAAATATAATCATAGGTCTTTTCTTCACCTCTCTCTAAGAAGCTTTTAAAATTCATTTTTCTAAAGGTGATCCTTTGTCATTAGTTGGGTATTTCTTAGTTAATAAATTCAACAGACCACCTCATCAAAAATGGATGTAGTAACTTTTTCAACTATATTGGGTGTGGAATAAGACTTGTCTTGTGTTTGCCTTCAAGTATCATCTGTTACAGAACATTTATTTAGAATTTTAAAGAGTTCTAAAGGTTAATATTAATCCCATATTCCTTTAGATATGGAAGTAAGTCTAATTAAAGCTTTCCTATGTTGCCCTAGACAGCTCTGCACAGCCACACTGCAAGTTCTCTGTCCTTTCCATCTCCCTTCGCTTGATGACATTCACGGAGTGCAAAATATACAGCTGCGTCCTTAACACCACAACCCATGGCTTAAAATGCTAATGTGGGGGAGAGGACTGAGAAATTATGAAATAAGCCCTTGAAATCACCCAACGCAGGGCTGTCAGAAACCTCTTTTAAGAACTGAGCTGCCTATCTGCTTCTGAGGAGCTTAGAGGAAAAGTTAGAGCTCTAGAGGTTGGAATTTAACAAGAAATCCACATGACCTCTATCCTGCATGGAGAGGCTTTAGAAATTTTGGAGACAACATTTCACATCTTTTAAAATAAAGGGCTTAGGGTGAGGTGGCTCACCTTGAGGAAGCAGTTAACCCTTTGAGAGCACTGTGTGTTCTGGGGAGGAGATGCAAAGAAGTAAAATATTACACGGTATATTGTTCCCTGAATAATGACAGTGGCCTCCTTAAAATGCCAATTTACCTCTAAAAGTGGTAGAGTAAAATCAGGCCATTTTGTCTTTCTGTTTTTTTAGATAGATGAATCACAAGGTTTCCCACCTAGTTTCCTATATACCCACACAGATTAATTCTGAATGATTTCAGATCAGATTATTTACTAAAAACACCAAGATTTTCTCTATGGGGCTTGAGAAAATATGACAGATAAACTCTTATCGAGAACTTCCATTGTTTAGCTTCTCTGAGGAGCTTATTTTGGGGTTAAACATTTAACCCTAAATAAGATCTGTCAAACACATGCATTTATTTAAATTGCTCTCACTTTCTGAAAGCTGACCTTGTATTCTGTATAGAAAAGAAAGATTCTGGTAGGAAGGAGAGAGAAGAGTTTAAAGAAAATCTTTTTATTCCCTTTACCCTCTTATTAAAAAGCCCAGTCGCTTCACAGTGACTGGTTTTTTTAAAGGTAAAATCCACAATGTTCTGGAGCTGGCTGAGTTAGTTAAGTCCTTGGCTGGCAGGGATAGGCTGGCAATCTGGGTGTGAAGTGCCTCTGATCCTCCCTGCCCTATCAGAGGGAAACAGAGTGTTGGGTTTGCCTTGCTTCTGTTTGTACTTTCTGTCTCATTTAATTCAAAGTCCTGTGGGATTATGTCACATGTTTAAAATGGTGTGGATTTATGAACACAGCTATGGTCCAGTATGTTGTAGGGAGTGCCCTATTTCAGTGTTAGCAAAGTAAGTAGCAGAAAAATAGTTGACACATAGTGGTACATAATCTACTGAAAGAGTATTGCTAGTGTAATTGTTGACAAGCTGTTTGAATAACCCTTTAACACAGCATATAAGGAGACAGTTACATTAAATCCTAAATTTAATTTAGAGATCTGTATTTTTAATTGAAAATTGAGGTAGCCAACATCAATTAGGCTGACCCCACAGTATATTGGATTTCACCTAATTGGATGTCTCCATGGACTTGCTTCTTTGTTTTGGTTGTATCAAACAAATCCCTTCCATAACCTGACTGAGTTCAGGCTCATCAATTTCATGGGCCTCACCATCTTAAAGGTCCATTTCAGGCTTGGGTGTCTATGATTGCTACCATTTTAATGAGTTTCTCTCATCATTTTTTATTTTAATTATTTTCCATCTTGGCCAACCCCATCTTCCTTCTAGACCAGCTCTTATCAATAGGGGGTGATTTTTGCATCTTCCCCTCGTCCTCTCAGGGACATCTGTCAATGTCTAGAGACATTTTTGGTTGTCACTGGAGGGAAGAGTATCTTGGCATCTAGTGGGGAAAAGCCAGGGATACTGTCAGACATCATTCAGTGCCAGTTTAATCTCCACTGCAGAGTTATCTAGCCCAAAATGTTAATAGAGTTTTTCTAAGGTACCATTATTTTGGCATATAATCAAACATATTTCCTAATATTGCTATTTAAATAATTGCATTTTTGTCTATATTTCATACTTTTTTTGAGATGGTGTCTTGCTAAGAAGCCCTGGCTGATTGTGAGTTTGTGATTCTCTTACCTCAGCCTCTGAGTGCTGGGATTACTGATATGTGCCAGCACACTCTGCTTTCCTTCTCTTTCATACTAAGCACATTTATCAGATTCTAGTGGTTTCATCAAATTCTGTGATCTTAAAATCAAGTCCATACCCTCATACTCCCTACTTATAGAACATTGTCACATTGGTGAGTGCCATGAAGCTCAACAGTGAATTCTTGGTACTTTTATAAAGTTGGTGCTTTCAGTTAATATAACCAGTCAGTCTGGCCAAAGACATAGGAGTCATTCTTGACTTTTCTCTCTTTCTTTACCTTTCACCTTTACTGTATGAGGAAATTGGTACTTACCATTTTCTGAGTTTTTTATTCATTAAGCTTGGGTACATAAGATTACTTCTAAACTGTACCCAAATTTGTTATTTTTTCTAGTGCCACCACCTTAGTCCAAGCTTCATGTCTTATATAGACTATTAGATCACTTCTACCCTTCTTCCCCTGTTCCTCCTCACTTTCATTATCCCTCATATATTCTTGCAGTGACCTTTGATAAAGCCTAAATTGGTCATGTACTCCCCTGCTCAAGCTCTGCAGTTATACTACGTGACTCCTAATATGGTCCAAAGACTTTAGCTCATCTCCAAGGCCCTGTGTCACTTGGCCTGTCTTTGCCTCTCTGGCCTCATCTTCCACTCTGTCTCCTGTGCTCCATCCCCGAGCCACGTCAACCCTCTTTCTACCCTTTGTACACCCCAAACACATACACACTTCACCCAGTGCATGGCCATGGCCATGTACTCTGCTATCCCCTATGTGGCTTCCCAGTGTTCATGTGGCTTGTTGCTCACTTCCTTCAGGCGTCAGTCTTCAGAGTGGCCTTTCCTGATTACCTAAACCACCCCGTCCCTATCTCTTTCTAACCAATAGCCAGTTTTCTTGGTACTTACCATTTTCTGAGTTTATTTTATTCATTTATTTGCTCATTCATTCATTCATTCATTATCTTCCCCTCTTCTTAGAACATTAACTTTCTTCATTAAGTACCATGTCTGGCATGTAGCAAACACTTAATACATGTGAAGCGTACGGATGAATGATTTAGTTTAATTTGCACTTGGCTATGGGGATGGATATGAGCAGCCTATGAGAACTTGACATAAGCACAGCTGTGTCAAATAATCAGCAGGCTGAGTTTGGCATGGCCCCAGCTGCAGAAGGCAAAATGCAGCACAGCTGCTTTTCCTAAGTTGTTTACATTCAGAGAATAGGATCGCAGGTTTCTCTTACAATGCCATGCCCCTCCCTGAGAACTGTTGCTCCACTCCTTGTTTATCCCTGTATATAAAAGACTCCCTAAAGAATTGATGGGGATTTTGGTATGGAATGAATTGATTGACTGGCTGCAGGCTGCATGTGTGAATGACACTGCTGCTGCTGTTGCTGGCTGTTGTGTGTCTGCAAGTCTGAGGACTGAGACTTTAAGAGAGAACATGGGACAGTACAAGTCTGACGGCCAATACTTTAAGAGAGATTAAAGAAAACATGGGACAGTGTGAGTCTAAGGAAAGAGACTTTAAAGAATAGAAAAGAAGCAAGGTTTTAAAGAATAGTTAAGAAGTAAGGCCTTGAATGAGAAGAAAAGAAGCAAAGTAAAAGAAGAGTTATTAGAGAAAAGAAGCAACAAGGCTGTTGTGTGTCTCCATCTGAGCACCCAGCACACCTGGCACAACTTTGTACATGTTTGTCTATCTTTTGTCCTTTCTGCATCTCCATTCGCCCCCCAGTTAGTTCAGGAGAACAAGAGCTCATAAGAAAGCTCTCAAGACTTGGCTCTTCAATACCACTCCTGGGGATATACTCAAAGGAATGTGACACAGGTTACTCCAGAGGCACCTGCACACCTATGTTTATTGCAGCACTATTCACAATAGCCAAGTCATGGAAACAGCCAAAATGCCCCACTACTGATGAATGGATTAAGAAAATGTGGTATTTATACACAATGGAATTTTATGCAGCCATGAAGAAGAATGAAATCTTATCATTCTCAAGTAAATGGATGGAACTGGAGAACATCATTCTGAGCGAGGTTAGCCAGGCTCAGAAGACCAAAAATCATCTGTTCTCCTTCATATGCGGACTTTAGATCTAGGGCAAATACAGCAATGTGGTCAAACTTGGGTCACATGATAAGGGGAGAGCACATATGGGAGATATGGGGATAGGTAAGAAACCTAAAACATGATAGTATTTGATGTCCCCAGAGGAACTAATACAGAAACAAAGCAGCAGAGGTGAATATGAGAAGGGGATCAGGAACTAGTGAAAAGGTCAGTTAGAGATGAATCAACTTGGTGATGTAACACACTTGTACATGGAAGCAATGCTAGGAATCTCTCTGTATAGCTATTCTTATCTCAACTAGCAAAAACGCTTTGTCTTTCTTATTATGCTTATACTTTCTCTTCAACAAAAATAGAGATAAGGGCAGATTCTGCCTGGAAGCGAGAGGAGGTGGGGGGGGAGAGGAAGGGGATGGGAGGGTAGGGGGAGAAACGACCCAAACAGTGTATGCACATACGAATAAACAAATTAAAAAAAAAAGACCTGGCTCTTTTACTTAAATGGTAGAGGCCCTACCATTTAAGGTATGTGTTATTTAATTGGTTGAAATATAAAGTCAGTGAACATGTTCAGATCATCTTTAAAACCCATGTTTTCTGCACAAGGCAAATGTAAGCAATCATTTTTATGCAGGGTTAAAACTCAAATTGTGCAGCCTGACTTGGTCCAGCTCCTTTTGTTTCCCCTCTCTGTATGTGATTTAGGCAATATATTTACATTCTGAAGCTTAAGCTTCCTTATCTGTAGAATAGAGACAGAAGAAAATATACTTCATAGGATCATTGTGAAGATGAAATAAGCAATGTGTAGGAAGTGTTTAGTATGTTTCCTGAAACATTATGAATGCACAATAAAAATAAGCTATTTTTCTTATTTCTTTACACTCTTAAGTTCCTTCAGAATAGGCTAAATTCTAAGCTAATCTGAAGTTCAATTGCATATATTTAATAAATGTGTTCAGGAATATATAACTACTGGATTATGTTTTATTTTTCAGGTTGGATTAGCAACATGCCAAATGGCTAGAGCTTACGGCTTAAAGGTTTTGGGCACAGCTGGTTCTGAGAAGGGACAAAACATTGTTTTGCAAAATGGAGCCCACGAAGTGTTTAATCACAGAGAAGTTAATTATATTGATAAAATTCAGGTAAAATATTACAAAAGTTAATTGTTGTGTATAAAAACTTACCTGGTTTTTTAATAAGTTCTCTTACCAACTACTCTGTTAAACTTGTTTACTTCCTTTTCTATGCCTATATGTTTTTATCTCTTTATGTGTTTTAACATTTTATTTCATTTAAAAAGCATAGGTGTCTAATTTTTCAACCAGTACCATCACTTCTGTATTGTGTGTGTATTAAGTAAAATGATGCCTTTATGTCTGTAAAAATTGGTGCTCTTTAATGAAAATCACATTTTAAGTAAAGTCATAGCTTGTTCTTATAGCTATAAGGAGTTCTTAATGTAATTTCCATTGATGTGAGATTTCTGTGGAAGGTGAGTTACCCATAAATTACAAATCAGATCTGTCTGTTTAGCTAGACAATAAAGTTTATTTGGAGCAACAGTCACTACTTCATCAAAAGTGGTGGTAGAATGTAATTAGTTGCTGCATATAACAGATTAAAAGACTCTCTTTCTTTCTTTTTTTCAGTTTTGGAGATGGAACCCAGAGCCTTATGCATGCTAGGCAAACATGCTAACCACTGAACTACACCCCCAGCACTTAAACTGATTCTGAAGTTACATATTTGCATTCTACTATCAATTTACTAAACACAATTGCTTTGCTAATCCTCAGACCTCTTCCTCGTGTTGGAAAGAATTAGGCTGTCTCAAGTATTGAGTACTATATAAACTCGGTCATTACCAAATGAGGATAATGTAGGGGAGAGTTCATTACCACCAAATTACCTTGCCAAAAAAACTGTGCAAAGGCATCCTTTGCACCATGTCCAGGCAACTTAGGACTTAGTACTCACTCTGGATACCATTCCTTAAGAATATTTACAGAGATGACAAAGTAAAGGACTGGTTGTTTTATGACCATGGTTTTTTTTTTTTTAATTTTTATTGTCATTGTTTAGGAATAATCTGATTTTTAAGAGTATGAGGCTTTGTAGCTTCCATCTCTTCCTCTGATTACTTCTGCTTAATTCTCTCCCATCTCAAAAGACATTATTCTAACCTTTCATCTCTACTCCTCTTTACCACTAAACTTCTGGAAAAAGTAGTAAGTACTTACTGCTTTTCCTTCCTTACCACCCATTGCACAATTGGCTTACATGTACCTACTTTGACTGCTTCCCAGTGTCACTGTGGAGCTCCTAATCATGTCTGCTGCCTTCTCTCTGTCTTCATCCTGGTTCATTTTTCATGCATATATGAATCTGACCACGTCATTGAAAATGGTTCTCTTACTTCCGTGACTATTCACTTTCAATCTCTTTCCTCTTTGTATGAGTGTGAGGGTTCTTTGGGGTTTTCCTCTTGCTCTTCCATGTCAGCACCTCCTCTTTCTCTCTCTTTGCTTCCCACCCACCCTGAGGTGAGCAGCATGTTACACTGTGTACTCACTCTACCATGCACTCCCTACTATGATATACTTACTGCCTTGCTACAGGCTCAAAAAGCAGTGGAGTCAATTGGCTGTGAGCCAAAATAATCCTTTTCTCTTATAGGTTGATTATCTCAGGTATTTTGTTAAGTAACAGAAAGATACTGCTCCTTATTGCCCAAATGCATATCGCAGCTCTCCTGGTATTCTCAGTTCCACTGTCTTTGCTTGTCTGTTTCTTATATTGAAACTTATTCTGCCTTATATCTAATTCCCCCTTGCTTATCTTTCTTCCTTTTTGTTTAGAAAACCCCATTTCATCCCTCAGGGCCCAGGTCATTGTCTGACCATTGTAGGGAATCAGACTTCAGCTTCTTTCTTCTATACTTTATTGCTTATTTCTGCTCACATAGCACTCAGGCCATTATGTTATAGCTATGAATAAGGCATTTTCCATCCTAATTCCTAGTTTGTTTTGAGGTTGCTCTGACCATTCTCTGCATTCTAGCATAATGCCTGGCATTTTTTTTTGTTAAAGTAAAATTAATATAATATTGATATATAGATTGTTAAAAGAGCCAGCTTTGTATATTGGGAAGCAACATCAGAGATCCCAAAAGAAATGAGGTAGTATGTCAAGCAGATTATAAACCATTTACAACAAAACTGAATGTACACGTATACATCCTACAGCACCAAGCTGCCAATGCTCTTTCTTCTTATTTTTGATAGAAATGAGAGTCTTCTGGGGTTTTTCAATTTTTAAAATTTGTTCATTTTTCTATAAAAGTTCACTTTAAAGATAAAATATTTTCAGTTAAGGAAAAAGTTTCTACTCAAGTTGAGTCTAGTACCAGGAAATTCCCAGCAAATTTTATTTCATTATAGCAATTTGCCTAGTACATCTAAATCTTTATCATCTTAGTTATGTTCCTAGTGCCTTGTAATTAAATCATTATATCATTATATCATTTTTAAATTAGCATTATTAGTCTTAAAAATGTAGCATTCAAAACACGTTCCTATAAAATATGGTACTACAATAGCTGTTTTCTAGTTTTCTCACTTGTTCTCTGGCTCTACATTGTTTTTGCTTCTTTTTTTACTTTATAGAAATCTGTTGGTGAAAAGGGGATTGATGTGATTATTGAAATGTTAGCTAATGTAAATCTTAGTAATGATTTGAAACTTCTGTCACGCGGAGGACGAGTAATAGTAAGTGTTTTTCTTTACCACTTTGAAGTTTTACCACAATTGAACACTATTTTGCAGTAATCTTTAACTGTAGACATGTTGTTTTCATCATAGGTTGTCGGCAGCAGAGGGCCTATTGAAATAAACCCACGGGACACCATGATGAAGGAGTCTAGTATAATTGGAGTTTTTCTCTCTTCATGTAGCAAGGTAAGAAAGGAAGTGTTCTTGATTTTGGTGACTTAAGCATTGCTCCAATTTGCCTAGTCAGACCGAAAGTTAGAGTAGATGTTAAGCTGAGTTATCTGACTAGAAGAGTAGATAAGGACTAGTTGCCAAGTAGATGATGAAGTTGACAGTGTAATTTACCACCCAAGTCAGGACACTTTTGAGAGAGAAGGGGGATACTAATAGTAATTATTTCAAGACAGCTGGTATTTTGTAAACCACCACTGACCCGGGCAAACAGAAATTGTGGTTACTCTTTACAGAACTATTTTTTCTGTAGTTTTGGACAAATTATCGAAAAACTACATACTTGTAAGAGGCTTGTTATAGTGTAACTCTTAAATTCTGAACATTTTTAATGCTCTAAAATTCAAGTCATGTGGTCCTGTGTAAAAGAAGGTTTTTCCTTTCCCCAAGGAGGAACTTCAGCAGTATGCAGTGGCCCTTCAAGCTGGAATGGAAATTGGCTGGCTGAGACCTGTGATAGGGTCTGAATATCCATTGGAGAAAGTGGCTCAGGCCCATGAAAATATTATTCATGGCAGTGGGACTATGGGAAAAATGATTCTTGTCTTACAATGATTAATTCTTTTATGAGCTTCCTGTGTAATTAGGAGGTTTTCTTTCTTGCAGTACTATGTACACTGTCTTTAATTAACGTTCATTTGATTTAGTGAGTTTCATGTTTTAAAAACCTAGATTTCTCTTTAGGGAGCAGAGACAACGGAGTACAATTTATTTTACAGCAGCAACATTTTTATACCTTGTATTGCAAATCAAGGAACCATCGTAGTAGGAAATAGCATGTTAGTGGTCATTTGGCAGTGGGGTGCATTTCAGAAATTCTTAATTGATAGTTGATTAATTCCATACCTTTGACTAAAACATGGTAATTCAAATAAGACTGATTTTCAAGGATTTCTGATCCTATTTATCTTTAATCATTAACTTATCATAAAGACATCCATAGCTATCTTGGACCTTGGAGACTTTCTGAACTTAAAAATAAAAAGCCATTTCCTCAAGTACTCTTATCTGAACCCATAAGTCTCATAGAAGGGCAAGAGTAAATAATAGCTAAAGAAATTTGTTAGTTTTCCTAACATTTCCCAAAATTCTAAGGTATTTACTGTGCTGGTTGATCACCAGTGACAACATGTTGTCTGAAAACAGCATCCTTATCTTTGGTCTGTGATGCTAACAAAGCCACCAAATTTTGATTGATTAGATTTTCAGTATAGATTTCAAGTTATCTGTTTCTGTGATATGATCATTTATTTTAATTAATAAGTTCACGAAATTGACATACTAAGAATGATCTACTCTTGTTTTTGTAACACAGTAACCTGCAATAAATTCAATAAAAAATTAAAGCCTGTGTTTGTCTGGTTTGTCTTTGAATAGAACTTGCCTCTCCTTGCTTCTGCATAGTTCCTATTGGAACATACTAGCAGTATTGTATGATGGAAGTTTTTATTTAGACAAAATAAAAGGGTGACCTTTTAGAAATCTTACCACCAGTATTATGTCCAAGGAAATAGGTTTGGTTGTTGTTGTTTCTCTTAAAATGAACACATTTTTCCTGTTTCTTGTTATATTGTGTGGTTGATTGTCTTGTTTGATTTGTTCTGTTGATTGACACTTTACAGTTTAGACATGGAATCCTGTGTAATAGTAATTGAGGGGGTGTCATTGATTTCTGGCTCTTTGTGCCATGGCTGAAGTGTTTTGACTATTAGCATTTTCCAAGTTTATTCACTATTTCTTTTATAGGTAAATTATTCTATAAAAGTCATTTTTGAAAAAAGCATCAAAAAGGTATTGTCAGCAGTCCACAGACTAGCATTTTATGTGCTTCCTAAAGTGAGAGATTCTGCCATGCAAAAAGATAAAGGCAATGGGCTAGGCACAGTGGCTCACTCCTATAATCTCAGCTTCTTAGGAGATGGAGATTAGGAGGATGCCAGCCCAGGAAAAAAGGTAGTGAGATCCTATCTCAACAAATAAGGTAGGCATGGTAACTTACATCTGTAATCCTAGCTACAGGGATACTCAGGTAGGAGGATCTTAGTCCAAGGCCAGTCCCAGGGAAAAACATGGGACCCTATCTAAAAAATAATGAAAGTCAATGAGGGATTGGGGTGTAGCTCAAGTGTTAGAGCACCTGAATTCAAACCCCATACCACTAAAAAAAAAAAAAAAGATAAAGAATAATTGTTCTGTGCAAGTTCAATCTGTTTGCACATTTACCTTATCCACAGAATGAGCTAAAGCATTCAGACGCCTTAACACTTCGCAATTCATTGGTACAGTTCTGTTAATTTTGATGGCAAAACCAGCCAGGCTTTATGAGTTCACTGCCATACTAATTATGTAGCATTGGATACATTTTCTGTGTGACTCCTCCTTGTAATTCTAGCTCTAGTCTTATCCCAACTTCCAGCTAACCTTATTCACCAGTTAAGGGTCATGACTCCCACATAGTCACCAGTGCCTGCCTGATAATAATCTGTAGCGTACACAAGCATCATTTCACCTCTCTGCCATCTGGATTTCTGTCCCTGTTTGTTTGACTTTTGTGACCTAGACTTATAATATGTCACAGGCCCTGCTGACCTGTCACCCTGAGCCCCAAAAGTGAAACAACTTGCCAAAAGTCACACTACCAGAAGAATCAAAGCCAGCTGACTTTTTTTTTTTTAGTTGGCTGCTGATATAAAACCACAACCTCCTGGATTTTAATTTCTGTCAGGTTTTCCTCATTCATTGTACCTCTGGCTTCCATAGGAGTTGAACTCCCTGCTTTCCAGCTTCATTTTAGCTAGTATTCCTAGTTTCTGACCCTCCTCATCATCCTTGCCTGATTTGACAGTCCTTTATGAAGAGGTTATTCTTTTCTCCCGTTAACTTAGCAATTATTTATTGAGTACACAGGGTTTAAGAAGGCAGTCTGCTGGAATTTGAGGATACAAAAATACACAGGATATGGTCACATCCTTGGGTTTGCAGTTGAGTCGGGGACAAAACCCCATAAAACATGTCAGAGTATAAAGGGGGAATGTCAGTCAGGATTTGCTAGAGAAACGATTAAGACATACATATATTAAGAGACTTATTTGAAGGAATTCACTTAAGCAATTGTGGGGCTGTCAAGTCAATGCCAGCAGACTGGAAATACAGGTAGGGTTTCTATGTTACAACCTTTTCCTTTTTTGTTTTTTTTTTTGTTTTGAGGTAGAGTCTCACTATGCAGCCCATGCTGGCCTAGAACTCACTTTGTAGCCTAGGCTGGCCTAGAGTTCACCATCCTCCTGCCTCAGTCTCCTGAGTGCTTGGATGACAGGTATGTGTCATTATGCCACCTATGTGGCAGTCTCAAAGAAGTCTTTCTCTGGGAAACCTCAGTTTCTGCTATTAAAGCTTTCAACTAATTGGATGAGGCCTACCTGTACCGCTGAGTAAAATCTCCTTAGAGTCAACATAATTTTATATAATTGCATAAATAAAATGATTATGCTGACATATAAGGAACCATCACAAGGGGTGACATGAGGATGCAGAGATCAGGCACATGGTATAGGTAAGAATTTCTAATTGCACATTTAACACTTCTGATACAATTATTTGCTCTTACCATCTATATAGTAGCTTTGGCCGTACACATAAACACGCACATACTCTCTCTCTCTCTCTCTCTCTCTCCTTCTTACTTCTGTAAAAGAAAAAAACTTAGGAAGCATTTTATAATGTCTTTAACCCAGCTTTATTGCAGCAAGAAATTATATGTGTGCCATGGGCTTCCACAGTTCACAATACAGCATTTTTTTTTTTTTCTGCACAAGATAACTTCTAAGAACAACAAAACCTACTGGGTCATTTTGACCTGGCTCAGCCTCAACAATATCCCACAGACAGGGAAACACTTCAGCTCAATCCTCAGTCATCTCTTTCTAATGCTACCAATTTTTTTGTACAATGATTTTAAAAATGTCATTTAAAAATTATCATATGACAAATTTGCTACTCTATAGATCTCATACTGTGAGAACTTCCCACATCCAAGGAAAGGGCCAGAAACTGTTATGTCATAGAAACCCATGTTTGCTTTAGTGTGTTAGTGACCTATATAAGTTATACACAGAGACAGTCCATGTTTGTTTCTTAAGAGTGAATCTAACTGATCCTCAAAACATCATGTGATAGATATTCAATAAACATGTGCTAAACAACAAAACATCAGCAGTCCCTAATTTATTCAACTTCATGCAAAAATACAAAAACTGCAATGTATAAGAAATTAAAGAGGAGACTCATGCAAAAATCTGAGAATTTCTAAATCCAGTGTCAAGCATTTGATTCATTGAACAAAATTAGCTGCAAGGTAGATAAGAAACAGTTCTAACTTAGTCATTGTCTGTAATATAGGACACAGAAGCTATACTGAATAAACCACATCCCTTATTGCACAATCATCTGGGCTAGCTGGAGTTGACATCTATGCCCAGGCCACAGTATCCTTCAGCTCCTTGTTTTCATCTGCATTTTAGAATCTACATGCTTCAATTTTCAATGCAGCTGCAGATGGAGGAGGGAGAACTTTGCACCCTTGGATGTTGCTATGGTTTCTTTCTGAAATGGCCCCCAAAGGCTTGTGTGTTAACTGCCTGGTCCCCAGCTTAGTGCTCTTGGGAAGTGGTAGAACCTTTTAGAGGTCGGGCTTAGTGGGAGGTTTTAAGTTATTGGGGATGTGTCATGAAAAGGGATTGTGGGACCCTGGTTTCTTCTTTCACATCCCTACACTAAGGCAAACATGAGTTATATGTTCCTGCCATGATGTACTTACCTTATCACAGGCTGAAAAGTAACAAAACCAGCCAATAATGGACTAGCACTTCCAAAACAATGGAAATAAACCTTTCTCTTTATAAGTTAATTATCTCAGGTATTTGATACAGTGATGGAAAGCTGACTAACACAGATGTGCAGTCACCACAGAGAAAGCATTGCACATAGGTGGAAAGTAAAAGAACTTTGTATTGTAGCAAAAGTTGAAGAGAATATACTTGTACATTGAATATTTGCTGACTCTAGCAAAGCCAGACTATTCAAGAATTGAAGCGAAAGATGTTCATGCCTTAGTCCAGCAGGTGCTGTAATCAATACAAGGTATTTAAAAGGCCTCTTCACTACAAGTGTAGATCTGAGAGGAACTGAGTTTTCTTATGGACAGGGAGGCAGGCCACAGCGTATGAAACCAACATAGACATGAAAAGCATGGATTAGAGAGGCAGAAGACCTAGCTTTAAATCCTAGCTCTATTACTGACCAGTTGTGGAATCCTAGGCAATTGTCCTTTGACACCTCAATTTTCTGATATATAACATGGGGTGGGAGGTATAAATTACAGGAATTAAATAATGACTGTGTAGTATTTAGCACTCTGTCTTATACAAAGAAGTGTTTAAATGATCTATCAATTTTGCTAGCCATAAAAAAAATAGTGAATTGAGGAAAAGATGGAAGAATGAATAGGGAGCATCCTGAAATATGCATTAAAGGAAAAACCCAAGATGCAAATTCCCAAGAGTTGTAGATGAACATCACTACAGAAAACTTTGCTGGTTCTATGAGTAAAGTTGATAACTCTGAAAATGTAGAGGAAAAAAGAGATGGAAGAAATATGATAGAACAAATAAACAAACAAAAAGAAATGAAAATGGAACCTTTGAATTATAGGTGTGATTAAAAAATGCCCCAGAAAAATGAAAAATGTAATAAAACTTCCCTGTGCTAAAGAAAAAAGAGTACTTTACCACTGATAGTACTAATGTCATTGCAAAAGACTACTAGTAATAGGGCATATACTTTAAAGTTTTAAATTTTCACATAATTAGACATAGAAAGGAACACATAGAAAAATCATTATTTATAATTATGTTATTGAAAACCTGGAAAATGCAAGATGACAAATAGGAAAACTATTAATGAATCCAGAAAGGTGGTTGATTGTGTAACAAATGTAGAAAAATTAACTCAAATCTACAATAAGCAGAAAGACAATGGAAATCATCTCATTCCAATTGCAACACTATTATAATTAACTAATTTTAAAAGCAGTGAAATATAAGTCACCAAATTTATAAGAAACATACCAAACCTTTAGAAAGAAAACTTAATACTCTCTTGGGTGACATAAAGGAATATCCAAAGAAATATTCTTATATTCATATAAAGATTCTCATTTCACTCTAAAAATTCAAAGTAATTGATAACAAAACTTTCAGTATGAATTTTTACAATCTTGATAAAATATTTCTCATTACTTCTGCAGGTAATGAAAAGAC